ACCAGGGGGGAGATCGGCTGCTTTCTTAGTCACTACTCTGTCTGGAAAGAGGTAAATAAAGCCTTAGAGCACTTTTCTACTAAGGAGAAACGAAGAGGGGGTTTGTCGGTTCAGACAGAAAGTAAGCCCATGGCTGTCCTGGAAATATGCTGGAGAATTGCTCTTGACTTGTGTCTCCCTCAGGCCCAAGTCCAGCAACAGAGCAACAAGGAGGGCAGCTTACTGCCACTTAGAGTGGTAGCAGAAGAAGACCCCCATATATTGGGAGCTATACTCTTGCTAGTTAATTCTCATTCTTAACAGGCATGCCTTTTATGTGTCCATTATGTTGTCATTTATGTGACATTCCTCTGAGAAATCACACAGAGGTCTTGGGAGGTAGATTAAGGGGATGTATTGCTTTAACTCAAGAAGGAAAATTTAATTAACTTTCCAGATAAGAGAAAGCAGAGCTAGAATCTGTAAGCCAGAACCCATGCCTTACAGATCAAGATATTGATGGGGGTGGAACTGGAGGGTGGGGTTCCTGAGTATGATTCCGTTCCTACACAAAATGATAGCATCTCTCTATGAAAGAGCCCATGATCCCGTTCATTTAATTGTCTAGTTTATGCCTTCCTTTTTTCTTTAAACTTTAAATGAAGTTTGATAGATATATAAAAGTATCTAGGTCATAAGATACAGTTCAGGGAGATCTCTCAAACTGAACAACACAGTCATGTTAATCATCCTCCAGATCAAGAAATAGGTTACCAGCATCCCAGATGCGTTTCCCTGTCACCAGTGCCCAGGACTGATCACCCTCCTGTCTTCTGACAGCATAGAGTAATTTGTGTCTGTTTGTACTTTCTTGTTTTGTGAATAAAAACACCTGGAATGTGCAACCTTTCAGCATTACATTTAGGAGATTTACCTGTAACACTGCATGTAGCTGTAGATCTTACATTCTCATTACTGTGATAGACCGCAGTTTATCCATTCCAATTGATAAGCCTTTGCTTAGAATCCAGCTATGAGCTATTACAAATTATGTTACTGTACCCTTGACTTCCATATACTTATTTTCCTAATGAAATTTTCATAGGGTGTCTTCCCACTGATGACCTTTGCAGGTAATTGACCGAGAACTTGAGAAGACTCTTGTTATTGAGGATGATGTGCGCTTTGAGCATCAGTTCAAGAAAAAGCTGATGAAGCTGATGGATGACATTGATCAAGCGCAGCTGGACTGGGAACTGATGTGAGTAACAAGATAAACTCATTAGAGAGCATGAAAGGCACTCAGTTCTTTCCAAGGACCAGAAAAGCCCCACCTCCCCAGCTGGCAGGAGACAGAGCTGGGGCTTTCATCGCCTGGTTTTCACTCCACAAATGTTTGCAGACCTAAAAGTGCATTAGCCACTTGCTTTTGTATCCATTTACTCTTCAAGGTAAGAAACTACAGGAGATTCTTTGTGGCTGGAATCTTCCTGCAGTTCAGGAACCTTCTGACAGAGCCAAGATATGGCTCTGAGCACCAGTTGGATGCACAGTGACAATCTCACTTGTGAAGCAGAGGGGAACATGCTGGGTACGGAGCAGGAAGACGAGGTAGTCATTCAAGCACATGACTCCAATGGCCTACTGTTTTGTTTTGTTTTGTTTTATTTTAGGGAAGGATCTACAGGATGTTCAGGGTCTCACTACTAGATCGGACTCATAGTGATCCTCCTGGTTACAGCCTCCCAAGAGTTAGGATTATAGGCATGTGCCACCATGCCCAGTCTCAATTGCCTTCTCAGTGCACCCTGGGGGTTGGGCCCGCACAGGCCCAGGGATGGAACCTGGGACCCCTGTGCCTGCTTGTAGCTCTTTAATCCGCTGAGCTATTTGGCCGGCCCCTGATGGCCTACTTGAAGTTCTACTTAGGAGACCAGAGACCCCACATTCCTTGGTGAGATGCAACCTGGGGCTCAGCGGGAGAGCCCCTGGGTTTTGCATGAGGTTGTGAAACAGGAAGAATACTAACAGCTGGGTGCAGGGAGGAGGAGTTCCTTAGGGTTTGGTCTTTCTTTTTCTCTCTTCTCTCTTTCTCAAAAAAACACTTTCTCTTTCCCACAAATGAAGTAGAAATTTCCCACCCATTTTGTTCAGTCCCCAGCTGTTTGTTAAAGGCAAATTTTGTTAAGTCAGAGCCAGCTCCTTTGGAGCAGCTACAGTAGCTGAGTTGTACCTGCTCCTCCCATCCTCAGAGGAAAGCTAACCGGTGGCCTTGGGTAGAATACTTGTTCTCTCAGAAAATGGGCTGCCATCAAAAGAAATGCAGCCAAGGCCCAACTACGTGAGGGAGGTAGGCCCCCAAATCAGCACTGCAGAATAAGTAGAGACCTGCTCCGTGTCAGGTATCAGTCACGTGACTCGGTTCAGAATTCGCAGGCTGATGAGATCACTGTTCTCTCCACATCTTCCTTCTATGGCTGCACATTGGTCCTCCTGAATCAATGTTTTGTAGCCTGTGGTAGGGGCCTCACGAGCCTGCAACCTGCTAGCCACTTCATACCCACATGACAAGTGGTGTGCAGGAACAATTTTCACTGAAGCCTTATAATCGTACTCAAATTGAAGAAGGTTCAACTTCCGAAACCCCAGGCCTGGAGTGGGCCACATGCCCCGCTTGTACCTTGACTGCTGAATTGCTCAGGACACAGTACCACCAGACCCAGGAAGGACGGATGGTTGTCCTGGGAAGGATGTAAGGGCGGAAAGGCTCTCGATTTCACAGCCTGATGAAGTCAAAATATTCCATCACAATGTATCACAGAATCTCAAAGAACTACAGTAAATCTCCAACTTATGACTATTCAAGCTGTGAACTTTCAGAAAGGAGCAGGCCCTGTAGGACAAATGAATGTTCACAGATGCAAACAAATAGTGAAAATAACTCACACGTCAGTGGAACTTTGCCGTGGTTGTGCTGCTGTATACTTGCTGCAAAAATAAAAATAGTTTACATTTACAGTTATACCATACTATACCATTTGTTCATGTTATTTATGAACAAATCTGAACTGGGAACATATCCCTGGGCCAGGACTCCTCTAAGACAGGGACTCACTGGATTGCAGTTTCAACTTTTACCAAGAAACAAATGTTGCTTAAACCCAAAACATGAAAACTAATCACCTGTCCATGATTGCTACATTAAAGTTTCTTGGAAAATGGAAATAATTGAATTAAAATCATCAGGAAGTACTCTTCAGTAGAAATATGATATGAGCCACACATGTTATTTTTAATTTTCTAGTAATCATATCAAAAAGGTTAAAAAAATTAGGTGAAATAAGTTTTAATATTTTATTTAACCCAATATATCCAAGTATTATTATTTTAGCATGTAATTAGTATTTTAAAACCATTATTGAGATGGTTTTTGTTGTTGTTCCAAGTTTCAAACTCCTGTGTGTTTCTACACTTGGAACACATATCAGTCCAGAACATAAGGGCCAGGGAGATGGATCAGTAGAGTAAGCACTTGCCTGGCAAGTACAAGGTCCTGAGTTCAATCCCTGGCACCACAAAAAAAAAAAAAAAAAAAAAAATCCAGAACATAAATTTTCATCTGTTAAATGGTAGTCCTACTAAATATTAAAATTGTTTCACAGAAACAACAAAAAAAGATTTTAAAAAACTTCAACTTTTAAATTTAAATAACTTAAGCTAGTAAGAGTGTAAACTCAGTCCCGCTAGCAACATTTCAAGAGTTCATTTGACTTTTTTTTTTTTTTTTGTGGTACCAGGGATTGAACTCAGGGCCTTGCACTTGCCAAGCAAGCACTTATTCTACTGAGCTATCTCCCCAACCCCTCAAGAGTTCATTTGAAATCTCTCATCTATGAAGTGATATTCTAGAGAAATTCATCCACTATAGTCAGAAGACACTGGCTAAGAGGACATTGTTTCATGTCCTCAGAAGAAATGAAGATGGCACCTAGATATCTTCTACAAATCCTGATGTGCACTGACTGGGGAGAATCCCTTGACTGTTGAAAGAGACCTTTGAGTACAAGATAGAGGAAGCACTGCTTTACCAGCAGTCCAGAGACTCCAGTCAAGCTCCAATAGAACAGATTCCAGACAAAAGTAATGGGTCACAGTGCTGGGAGTGGTCTGTGGCAAGACAAAAATGGCTGAAGGTACGTCTTGTGTGCTAGAAGTTGTTCATGAAGGATGAAGCTGGCTTAGATGCCCTCCTCACAGCAACATGCCTGGGAGGAAGCTGGGTAAACCTAAGTGAGTACCAGGGAAGAAAGCCTTTCAGGAGCTGCCATTCCTAATTCCCAGAAGGAACAATTTCAGGCTGCTATTGAGTTTCTAGGTCATCTTGTACTGAGACTGTTCCTTTCCCTCAGTTTTTTCTGTCCTGTGTTTACTACCACCACTTGGAGAACTACACACAAACATCCAAGATTAAAACTCTGGGGATGTGAAGACAGCAAACTCAGAATTCTCACATCTGTCCTTTTTCTGTTCCTTTCCAACCTCTGTAAACACAGCTGGAGATCCCATGCCACCTTTCCAAAAACTGCAGCTCTTTGAATCTTTTTACATCTTAACTTTCTGGCTTAAGCACAGTCACCTAAGGGGAGGAATACTTGGGGTGTTAAGTGGCAAATGACAGTCATGGTGAAAGATGTCATGTGCTTTGTGCTGCGATAATTTTAGCAGAAAACACAGTGGTTCCATACTTACAAGATGTTTGTTTAAATCAAAGCTTTCCTTCATTCTCATTAATGACTAATATTCAAGCTGGAATTTTTCTCCATTACCTCTTTCCTTGTAGTTACATTGGTAGGAAGAGGATGCAAGTAAAAGAACCAGAGAAAGCAGTACCCAATGTTGTAAATCTGGTTGAAGCTGACTATTCCTATTGGACCTTGGGCTACGTCATCTCTCTGGAAGGAGCACAGAAGCTGGTTGGAGCTGATCCTTTTGGGAAGATGCTACCCGTGGATGAGTTTCTGCCAATCATGTACAACAAGCATCCCGTGTGAGTGTCCTACAGCTGCCCACTTATCGCCTGAACACAGCCTATTCATGAGTTATGCTTTCTGGGTAGTACTGGACATTTTCCAAAATTTTGTTATTTTCCTAAATGATTTTCTATAATTGTCACCAAGAGAGGCTTCTTCAAGTGATTATTCCCTTTAACAGATAAGGAAAAAAAGAAGAGATGTTGAGACTCCTGTCAGTGGTTTTCTTTAATATTCAATGTGTAGGACATAATCCACTCAGATTTATTCCTATCTTTGCTCTTCTAACTTACATAACTTCACACACCGTATGGTGAAGGTCGTTCTCCTCAGCAGTCCAAAATTTTCAGTTCATTCAGCTCCATTACTATACACTGCAGGCCAGGCAGTGGCAATCCTCCTTGCAGAGCTCAGGATCTGGTTGGGAACACTGAAATCACTGCAATACATTGTGGTACCTGCATTCACAGAGATGTATGAAAGTTCAGAGGCTTATATGAGGCGCCTGAGCAGAGCTTCTGTGAAGCAGGCATTGTGATGCTCCGAATATAGTAGGGGCTTCCACTAGCCTAGCGCTTAGCAAGAGATGTGGTAATTGATGGCTGTGTGTCGCAGTCTCCCCAATATGCTGTGTGTCCTTAGCGCTTAGCCTAAATACTACCTATAATAGCTGTTCCACCAGTGATTCCGAAATTCGGGATTGGAGTAGGAAACAAGGTTCCTTATTCTCTTGCTGGGTGTTGTCTAATTAGATGGCCTTCATTTTGCCATTGAGATTTCCTATGCTGCACTTTATCATTTGTCACCCATCCTCTGTAATAATAGAGTTTCTTACTGTCTTATGTGCAGCATGTCAGAGAGAGAGAGATTGACTCTACCTCAGTACCTTAGCAGAGACCTGTAGGTCAAACAAATCATTGTCCCCAAGACCAAAGACAAATTAATAGCTATTTACCTAATATTTATTCCGCTCCCAGACCAAGGAACAATATAGATATCACCTCATGTAACCAGCACAAGAGCCCTGGGAGGGAAGCCAAGTTCCCTGTTCGTCACACTTTCAGGGACTCAGAACAGTGAGCTGGGGACTGGAGTGCTCAGGCCCTCTGGTATTTCTCCAAACCTTCACCATGTCACTCAGCCCCCTGCTGCTGTCCACATCTCAGATATCTTAATTTATCAGTACAGGAACAAGGCACTTTTTGTAAACTGTTCATCTTTATTTATCATTATGGTACATTAGACTTAATTTTAGCATAACCTCAATCAAACCATTCAAGTTTTCTATCCAAATGCACCAGAAATACCCTGACCTTTTTTCTTTGTGTTTGGATCTTCTGAAAGTTTTAAACAAATGTGTATGGTGTTTGTAGCCTAAAATTTATCACAAAGGACACAACTTAAAAAATAAAGCAATGAATTCATAGCAATTTCAGAGGTGACATGCAGGGCCCCTCTGCTCTTCTCACCTGTCCCCTAAGGCTTCCGCCCCTCATGTGCTTGTGTACTTCTTGTTTTCAGAGCTGAGTACAAAGAGTACTATGAATCCAGGGACTTGAAAGCCTTCTCAGCAGAACCCCTGCTCATCTATCCCACGCACTACACAGGCCAGCCGGGCTACTTGAGTGACACAGAGACCTCGACCATCTGGGATAATGAGACAGTGGCAACAGACTGGGACAGGACACATTCCTGGAAGTCACGGAAGCAAGGTCACATCCACAGCAATGCCAAGAATACAGAGGCATTGCCATCGCCAACTTCCCTGGACACTGTGCCCTCAAAGGATGAGCTCTAAAGGCTCCCCAAACTGGGGCCCACACTGGTTCATCGCTGTTTGGATTTTCTAAAAGGCCGTTCATTTGTTCACTGCAGGTTGTTTTAGTGGTCACAATCATCTAACCAAAGTGGTCTGATCTGATGGACCAAATTAATATATTTTTGACAGGGGACAGTGGTAGACAAGTTAAACTCAAATTTCTATTATGGCTAGAAGATAGGCCTTATGAGAACTGGTAAGTTAAGCTTCAGTCCAGACACCCAATTCTTTGGCTCACTGGCTACCTGACACTACTGTCCATATTAGGGTACCAAAATGGCTCAGAATTTTGTCCAAGAGACTGATTCACCAAGCTGTCACATCAGTCAGTAGGTAGTCAAAGCAGTCAAGTTAACTGAACCACATTTATTGGTCTGGATTGTCCATTTTATGTGACAGGTGTGACTTTAAAACTCCAAGCCAACTAGGCTACATTTATTGGTCTAGTTAGTTCATTTTATGTGATCTTGAAAACTTATGCCTATAACAAGGGTTTTTTTGAGTGAGAGAATCAAAACATTTAAAATTACATTAATTGGGCTTTTCATTTAAAGGAATTCTGTCATGAGCCTTATTGTAAAGTAATTTTTTTTATTGTCAGCCTCATTGCCCGATAGAGATGGTAATGGGATCTGACTAAGATGTAGCCCTTGACTGTCATGGCAACTGGGCACTTATAAAGACATGTCCAGTTTTCCATGTGACTAAACTATGGTAGGTAGATATTGAGGGGCTTGGATAGATATTTGAAGGAAGAAAGGACTCAACCTGTGGCCCTTTTACTGTGGCCTCTTGAGCCAGGATGCTGTATTTATAAGGATAAATATAATATATGCAGGGTACAGGCAGGGGGAGTCCTGCCCTGACCTGGGGTTCACAGGCTACTACAGCACCCCACACCTTCTGCTCTATGCCTTAGTCTGGGAACAAGCTGCAGGTGTGAGTTTTATGAGTTCCTCTTAATAGAGTACATTTGCAGGCCAGCAGCTTCCCTTCCCTGGTTGTTCATTATATTTCAAATTATTTATTTTACAAAACGTGGGGGAAGCATTGTTGGAAGGATGAGGCAGAGAAACAGATGTTGCAAGCTTTCCTTGCAGCCCAGGGAGGGACCAGTATCAACACATTTGTTCCACCATCTGAGTCTCCTGAATTTCCCAGCCTGGCTCATGCAAGGAGGCCTGTCTGGGGATCCTAACCATTCAAAAACAAATTACTCTGCACTTAAGGAGAGAGATTTTGGCCAGTAGAAATGATGGAGCACAGATTTAAGCTAACAATCAGGAAAGTAAGTTTTTGGAGCCAAAATCCTAGGCAGACACCATTTCTTAGAAGATGTCCCCTGAAATTCCTTTCTGCTTTATTCATAGACTGACTTGATGTAAAATCCAGGGTTGGACTATGCGATCATATCCAGATCCCCTCTCTGGCGTCCTAGGATATCTCCCAATGGTTCGTCTCAACCATCACCTTTCTTCCTGATTCATTGTTGTTATTTTTCTCCACTGACTAATAAGCCAGGAAACTGAGAAAAGGGGCATTGCCCAACTCCAGTTTTTACTGCTTGGACAGAACTGTCAGAGCCTGACTCTTCTAGAAAAACAGGAAGAGCACCTGGGAAGCTAGTGAAAAACCTTTAGGTGGTTCCTAAGGTTTTGTTGGGTATTGGGTATTTTGTCTGCGTATTTGAGTGTGTGTTAGTGTGCTTGGTTTTAATTATTTTTTTATGGGGTGACAAGTGGCTAGGGTGTTGGAAGTAGAGGAAGATTGAGTTGATTTTTGTGCTTTGTTTAGTAGAGAACTTTTGCCCTTTCCCCCACTACCCCCGTCAGCTGGTCTGACGAGTTTTAAGAATTGTCATTCCTTAAATACATTGGATTTAATTTCTGGAGTTCTAGACTAGAATTGTTCTACTGTGAATGAAGCTCTTGGCTCATCTGCCCATGCTTTGCTCTCCCCTACTCAGGTCTACTTCCCAATGTTCGAACTTTGTAAACTGCAGAGCTGGTATTTCCTTTACAAAATCATCTCATCAGCAGTCCAAAGGTTCTTTGACCTTTTTATTTGTCCTGTCTTCATTCTGGCCTTAAACTAGGACACCTGACCTGCGTGGTTCCACATGAGGCATCAGCACAGAGACTCTGCTCCTAGTCCTGGCACCTGCTCTCTCTGCCTCCGACGTTAAACCTGTCTGGATCCCCTTGAGGATCCAGGAGGGATCTTCTGGACAAGTCTGACTTTAGCAGTGCTGGTGCCCTTGTGGGTGGCGTGAGCACTTACAGTTTGAAGAAGACCTGCACATGGGCCTTGCTTTGGGTTCCCTGGGGTCTCCTGCAAGAATCCTGGTGATCAGGAGCTGAAGGCCCACATCCTGCTTTATCCATCTTGCTGTGCTATTTCAGGGCTTAAAATTGATCAAGAATTTGCCTTTTGGAGCTCTTTGTGAAAAATTAAAAGAAAAATCTTAGCTCAAAATTATGATCGGTCATTGATTATTCAAACACTGGTTGATGGCCAACATTGCTGAGATTTCTGGGTTCGCACTAGACTGGAGTATGGGAAGCCCAAGAGTGTAGGAGAGCTGGGCCTTGCAAGTAGGGAAGCTTTTCAGTCTTAGAGAAAGGACAACTGTGCAAAGATCTATCTGGAAGTGATGAGGGACTCAGTAGGAGGAAGTGCTATGGCTGTGTTGGCGGTAGTGACAAGAAAGAGATACTAGATAAAGAAGACAAAGCAAGGTTTCTACCTTCACTCTGTGGGTTGATTCTAAAATGCACTGGCCATTGTTTCTGGAGAATTCTAGGCTTGGTTACTTCCCTAAAAGACAGTGCCGAAGTTCTGTCATATGGTATCAAAAACAAAGGTTCTTATTCAGCTGCAAACTTAGGAATCTTACAAGTTTTCATTTATGATTGAAACAAATCCCTCCAACTGGTGACTCTAAAATAAAGACAACTCTTTCTAGGCTTTCTACAATGTGCTTTTAGGACATTCTTTCAGATAGAGGGAAGGGGAAAGAAATGATCAGAAATGATCTTCACTACTGACAACAAATTCATTTATTAAGGAGTGTCATGATAAAGTGAAGTTAAAATGAAAATTTGAGAAGAAATGAGTGATAGCCCAGACACCTAAGAGGAAGCTACCTTGGATGATATCAGTGTGCCCTGGTTATGCTTTATAAGGAGATTTGTTATGTTCGGAAGGACCTGTGTAGAACAGAGATGTTCTGATTCATATGGTAGGAGGAGAGCTAAAAGGGCTGTGGATAGAGAGGGGCCCCTGGGAGCTGCCATGGTTCTGCGGGGCAGCTAAGACAAGGACAACACTGCTGGCCGAGCTTTTCTGTTTGCCTACTTACAAAAGAAAAATAAGTGATGGTAAATTATGGTACATCTTATGTTACAAAAGTTTACACGGAGCTGTGTGTTGACATGAGCCTGCTATGCTAGCACTGTAGGAGGCTGTGTCAGAAGGGTGCTGAGCCTGGACAACTTACTGACTTGGCACAACCCTGTTTCAGAATAAAACATTTTAAAAAAGAGGTTGGGATATAGCTCAGTAGCAAGGCCCTGGGTTCAATCCCCAGTACTGTGGAAAATAGTGCCTCCTCTTATGACGAGGAATTTAAGTGAGTCTTCAGGAGGAATTTATCAACAGAATTATTGGACATGGAATTGAATCGCAAGGGTGGTTCCATTCAAATTTCTCGCTGGGCAAGACAACAGCTTTCTTTCTGAGGTTAACTAAAATGGCCTCATACCCTTGCTTTTGTTTCATTTTGCTTTGCTTTCTCCTGTGATGTGTTACTATTTCAGATGATCTTTGCTTGGGTTGTTCTAGCCACACCAGCTATGCCGCTGTCAGCCCAAAGCCATCCTCCCATTGGCCATGGAAAGGGGTGGGAACAATGAAGAATCATCTCTGAGAATTGGTTTCTCTTCATTTCTCATTTATTGCATTTATTTTTTTTAATGTCCCTCTCTTTAGTTTCCTCAGCTTGGCTTCCTCTGCAATGGACATTTTAATAAAATTGCCATATCAAAGCAACCTGGGGCTTCCAAGGGGCTTCCAAACCAGAAACAAACTGCCTGCTTCCAAGCCCCTGTGGGTCCAGAGGGCTGCTCTGGGCCCTTACTAGACTCTTAACTTTAAGGAACCTGATTTTCAGGGTGGAGTGAGCAACTCTTTCTGTTCTGCAGAAGCTTAGGAAACAGCCAGTGATCATATATCTATCCTCTCTCAAAAGGGCACTGAAAGTCTGAAGCTGACTCTTAAGTTGGGGTTGAGTTTTCTAAGTTATGTGACTGGAGCAGTTTTAGCTGTTTTTTAAAATGCCAGTGTGAACTATAACGACTTTAAGGGAACGGTGGTCACTAAAGGTGCACAGGGGAAGAAGCAGCTTAGTGCACATCTGTGTGGAAGGAGATGAAGCTCACAATCTTTGGAATTTGAGAGGCAAGGGCAGTGGCAGCTTCCCCAGTGGCATCCCCAAAGCTCTGCTACTCAGGACTGAGTTGAGGAGAGAAGGGTAGGCAATGGGAGAAGACAAATTGAGGCCAGTTGCTGGAGGCAGTAACACAAGTGCACAAGCCAAAAAGAGGAGACAGTGGATGGGAAGAGTGTGGGGAGGGAGGCTTGAGCTGGAAGCAGAGACAGCCTGGTTCTTAATGTGAGAAAGGCTTTAACCTCGCAACAGCAGAGAAGGGCGGAGGTGGGGCTGAGCAAGCAGCCCGCTTGCTGCATGCTCACGGGGCGCCATGCCCGTGGATAGCAGCACAGCTGTGCATCTGAGCTTTCTTGGATAGGGACCTGGGAGTGACGATCCCCTTCCTGCAGGAAAGATTCAGAGGCAGAGGAGGGAGGATCCAGCAGCACTGTAGATTGCAGTGAGAAAGCATTCAGGAAGGTGAGCCCTGCTCAGAATCACTGCATCCCTCTGGCTCTGAAGGAGGTGCTGTAGCTCCTGGTGGCTTCATACTGGCTGTCCTTGCATAAAAACTGGTCTACATTACAAAACCCACAGGCCTGCTAGGGATACTGCACAAGCTCCACATGCCTGTCTCCATAAACTACTTTGGACCACAGTAGGAGAGCAAGCTGCAGGAATCCTGGCCACCCTCCAACTCCTTGTGTCCGTCTTTCCCCAGATAAGCAGCAGGCTGAGCCCCCCCCCAAGGGTGCTGCAGGTCCATGTGGGGAAGGCCACCTCTCAGCTTTCCAACTCACATGTAGACATTTAGTTGCTCACCCAGGTGGGAGGTCAGGGGCTTGAGGACATGACTTCCCCAGGCCAACCACAAGAGTCTATGAGTGCTGTTCCTTCATACTACACAAATCTCAAGAGATAGGAACTGCTAGGCCCACCAGGTACCCAAATGCTCTAAATTTCCCATCGCCCCTGAACTCACACTGGGGTCACAGGCTATGGACTATGGACTATGAATGGAGGCATGTGTCACTTGTCTAATATGAGCAGAACAGGGTGACTTTGTGCTTTTCATACCACACTGTGACTTGTAAGAAAAAGCTGAGACAGCAGAGTTACAAGACGAAAGCCAGCTGGACCCTTGGACCACTGTCACAGAAAAGCCTCCAGAGACTTGCCTGACATGATAGGACACTGGCACTGTAATGTAAAAATAAAACCTAGTCTAAATTACTTGGTTTGTTGCTTCAATGTAGCCTAGCCTAACTTGACACATCCCTTGCAGAGGTATTTAAGAGAGATTCTAGGGGAACAGTGATGGAAAACACGACCTAAGAACCGTAGGCATCTGTAGAAGAGCGTTGTCATCAGGAACTTCTCAACATCACTGAAGCAGGAGCATGTCAGCAACACTATCTGCTTCCTGATGGCCTGGTGCCGCAGGAAGAATGTGGAAATGCTCCAAAGAAGGAAATCTAAATGCATCATTACCTCTGGCAAAAGTCACCAAGCCCCGTTTCTGGATAGAGACAAGACTAGGGAAACGGTGCTCTAGGATGGTCTTGAAAAAACAGTGAACCATCAGCAGAGATAGAAATCTGTTCCTGCTCCAACCCACAGTGTCAATTACCATTAAAATGCCTAGTTCTCTCCCCCTAAATTTCCATCAGTATCTCCCAAATGTAACACAAAATGTTAATAGTTTGGGCTCATTTAGTAATCCATCAGAAGATAATTCTGGGTAACTTCTGGAAACAGTACAGAAAGACAATACACTGTGTTGAGTAAAGTCAGATTCAGCCTGAATGCCTTTTGGGAAGACCTTTCCCCACTCTCTGGCTTCTGGAGAACCATAGAAGGTTGCAAGATGATCACGTGGGCAGCTACTGTCAAATGGGAACATAGCTCAGAAAGAAGGGAGAGTACTACTATCTTGGCTCCTCTTTCTAAGGTGGATTTTATAAGGACATCCCCAGTACGTGACTCCTAAGAATAGCACCCCAGCAAGGCACCACCTCTGTTGCTATCTCCTGAGTCTTCATTCTTCCCCCTAAATGCTCGGGACACTTGCTGCTGGGGACCATTCTCTCCCACGCTGCTGCTGGCTTTCCAACTGCTCCCTCCATCTGATACCAAGTGGGCTCACGAAAGGCTTACCAACCTTTCTGGAACCCAGAGCCCCACTGATGAACACTCCAGATACAGTCCCTTTGGGTCTGGCAGCACATGCCAACCAAGTCCCAAACCAGTTTATTAGTTTAACCAAAGGATAAACAGATGAGGGGGATGCAAAAAAGACAAGCATGCAAACAGCTGGAAACACTGCCCTGCTGTCCACCATTAAGCAAATCTAAGACAAGTAAAGTGGCATTAAATAAATGAGGCCATGTTTCATCTACGTGGAATTTCCATTGTCTTTTTAAAAAAGGTAAATATATTTTTTACAATGCAGTATATAAATCTAGGATCTACATGTACAGTATAAATACACAGGGTGAGCACATGGGCACAACAGGTATGTCTTGGTAGCACACCCTTAATGAGACCGATAGTTTTACATTTTCGCTGTGACCTTCATAGCAAGAAAGTCAGCTCGAGGCTACATTCCTTCAATCTTCCTGATGGCTGAGACCCTGGGCATCTCTTCTCCCAAGCACAGAAGCACAAATCAAAAGGGGCTCACAGAACAAAGTGCTTTTTGGCTAGTTGAAACCCAGTCACTCTATACAACACAGCCCGATCTCCTACAAAGACCAAGGACATCTGAGGCCTTCCTGGCTCACTCTTTGGTCCATCAACACAAATCTCTATACATTTCCTGGTGTTTCTTGCAGAATTCATACAGCTCTTTATATAACAAAAATCCCACCCAACCTTTGGGAGCTGTAATACAAGAGCAGAGGGACAAAAGCTCCACATTATAACCTGCTCTTTTTTCTGGGTTTATTGTCTTTATTTTTGGAATAAAAACTGATATTTGGGGATTTCTTTTCTTAAGAAGAAATTACAATTTGAAAGTGCTTCTTACATGTCAGTGTCCCACCTATGGCTTTTTAGTTCAAACCCCAGCATAGCTCAGATGCAGAAGGGAGAGTACGATGGTGTTACTAGAGACAGAAATGTCGCTGAACAGTGACACTGATAGCAAATATGGGCGCTGAAAAAAGAACACTATTGACGCCATCTGGAAGAATGTACCTCTTTGTGAAAGAGCTAGATAAAGTATGCACTCCTGCTTCTATTCCCAGGACCAGGCACCAGAGCACTATAAAAGTAAAGTGGATGTTGCTATCACAGGGAATGTCTTCTGCAGGGCCTGGAACAGGGAGCTCACAGGCTCAAACTAATCAAATGTAATCAATCTCAGTAGAACTTTCTACACCTGAGGAACAAATTGCACATAATATAGAGGGACTAGGATCCAGATGGCAGAAGACTCCAGACATACAGGTTTACATGCAAAAGGCAAATCAGAGAAGGCCATAAAGTAGTGGCATTCAAGACAGGTAGGAGTCCAAATGAGTCACTGTTCTTTTGTGTTTTCTTTTCTGGCTGATAAGTTACCAAAGAGCATGGCTTTTGTGCAAGAATGATTATGATATGTTCTTTAGGAGATAAAACAGAAACAACAGGGCTGCCAGAAATCAAACAGACTTGTGTTAACTCCAGAGATGTTGTGATGGCAACAGTGGGGGCCCGCAGGGGCCTCTGGGGCTCTTCCTGGCCCTCCCTGGGAGCAGAAATCAGCAGATGCAGACAGAGGTCAGAGGCCACTGACTCATCCAGACCCTTCCCAAAGTGGTCTTTCATTCAGCCAGTGGCAGTTCCAACCTCTGCAGTTGTTTAATGTGGTGGCACTTGATTGAGAAAGTAATCCTCTCTCTTTAGAAAAATAAAGCTTAGATTTCTTGTAATACTGACACAAAAGACATTCCATACTTTTAGGGTTGACTCTACTTATTTGGAAAGTGTAAGACTAGGTTCTCAGTTCCTTCTGTGTCCCTAAAAAAGTGACCTCAACTTCCCAGGCCATTGTGCAAATTTGTTTTTCCATAGTCCCAAACATCCCATAAAGTCTCTCTAATATATCATATATATATACATATATATACATATACATATATGTATATATACTAAATATGTGTGCATATATATAAAATGTGGATAGTTTTGTATCTCAGTCTCAAAAAAGTCAAAGAGGATCAGTAAATCATTTGTCCTTTTCATGTTGAAGTCATTTCCACATACTGCTTTGTACACCACAGGTACTCAATAAATATCCATTGATTTCACCAATAACCCGCTAACACTGGATGGTAGTAGCAATCACCAGGCTTGTTCTCAGCCTGACTCTGCTTTGGATGAGCCGGGGTCTCTGGTGCCCTGCTCAGAGGGTGATCTTGCTGTGCCTGTTACTCCAGCAAGCCCGTTTAGCTGTCCTGGGCAGCGTCAAGCTGGTCCGGCTACGCAATTTCACTGGTTCTTCCACTGAGTTCTTTTTGCGCAAAATGAAATCAAAGTTCACTTGGCTATTCATGGCATAAAAGACATTCGCTGAATCTGGGATCACAAGTTCTGAAAAAGTGAAGTAAAGAAAAGACAGTCAGCTTGAGTAGGGCACTGCAGCTCTGAGAGTATGTGTAACTCTCACCCAGACCCGAGGCTAGAATGAGAGCCCTTCATTCCTGGGATGTGACCTGGACCACACAATGTCCACTCTGCCCTTAATTGGTCCCAACAATGCCTCAATTACTCCCCAAAAGCTAAATGCAGATAAGGATTTAGAAATCCTCCTCACCAGGAACCTGATGTTCAAGTATAGAATGTGAAAGCAAGAAAAAAGAAAAGAATGTAAAAGACAGAAAAAAGTGCAGGAGGAAACAAAGGCCCAGGGAAGTTACAGGAAGTTCTCAGACCATAGCCAGTGAGCTGCAGAGCTGGGCCTAGAACACAGGCTTCCTGTCTCCTGCAGTCCATTTCCTACTACAGTGCAGATTTCTTAAAGACCATGGACACCTGGTGACATGGACAAAAAACCCAGAAGATCTACAGCATTTTCTAGAACGCTGTGCTTGGAAGCCTGAAAATCTCCGAGAAGTAACCCTAAGTCAAATCAGTCATTTACTGTAACTGAGTTGCTGATTTGTTCAGAGTTTGCATTTTAATTTTTTTTGGTGTCTTTTTTTTTTTTTTTTTTTTTTTTTTGAGATAGGGTCTCACTATATAGATTAGGCTGGCCTTAACGTCACTATGTAGGCTAGGGTGGCCTAGAACTTGTGGTGACCCTTCTGCCTCAGCCTCCCAAGTGCTAGCATTATAAGTGTGTACCACCATGTCTAGCTCATTTTATGACTGTAATCCTAGCACTGGGGAGGCTGAGACTGAAGGATCACTAGGAGTCCAAGCAGCATAGCAAGACCCTGTACAAAAAAAAAAGTCTCTTATAAGTGATGAATTGGAAGTCTGAATTGCCAGATAAAGGAGGTATATCAGACATCTGCAGAGACTCAGCAAACATCCCCACCTACATCCTGCCTCTTGCCACATGGCGAGATCTCTTCCTAGAAAACCGCTTGAGGAGAAGTGTACAAAGACCAGAGAGAAAAACTCGTAGCCCAAGTGTAGAGAAACAAGAGTCAGTGAGTGGGAGAATGCAGCTTGAGACACTTCACTCTGCAACTGAGGTGACAGCATGGTTTTTCTCTCTAGCATGCAGTCTATATCCCTTTCCTGCCTTCAGCAGCTGGGGAGGATTATGGACATGCTGCCAGCACCTGCCGCAAGAAGGAGCATGTGCCCACCTTTGTCTTCTGAGATGACTTGCACCAACTCATACTCTTCGGCGGGGTCTGAGTCCAGATTGTGCTTCAGCATTGCTCTCTGGATCACGGCAGGGGTTTTATCCTGGCTTGTCAACTGCAAAGACAGTGAACGCATCTGTAAAGGATCTAGCATTGTCTTTCTTGGGCAAGTCCTCCCATCTGGCTATTCTGTGTGGTACATATCTCTCAGGAAGATGAGCTAGAGATACAGAACAGGAACAAGAGTCAAGACTCTTGAATTCCAGTCCTGACTCTGCCCTGATAGCCAACAGAGGAGGGCAAGGTCTCTGGATGTCTCAGAGTCATGGTGTCCCGCCCTGTGCCAATGGAAAGAGCACCTACACTGCCTGTCAAGCCCACACCAGTAGAGTTTGCAACAAGAGATGTATTTTAGAGAATCGTGAAAACTGCAAAGTATCACCAGTCTTGGGCCAAGACGATTCTCACAAGTTGACCTACTGCTACGCCACCGCCTATACCAGTGGAAGGAAATGGCCACAGTTCTGCCTATTTATCATTTCAAGAAGTTTTAGCAACTCTGTGATCCAGCAGGTCCACGCTTGTGCATGTGCTAAAATAAGTCCATTGGATAGATTTACATAGCAAAGGTAAGTCCACAAAGGATGTGCATACAAGTATTCATAGTATATTTATTTATAATGGCCAACAACCTGGGTGAAGCTGAATCTCATCAACAGGAGCACCTAGAAAGAAATATCGTATTCACTAGAGAATTCTTCCAAGCACCAGTAAACCAAGATCGGCATGGGTGACAATGTAGACACATCTCAAAAACTTCCTGTCAAGCAAGAGAAACCAGACAGAAGATCACATACTGTTGGCTCCTGTTCTTTCAAAAACAGAAAAAAATAATCTGGAGCACTGGAAAACTAATCTCAAGGTCAAGGGGGATTATGAATTGGGGGGAAGAGAAATGTGCTTTATCTGGATCTGGGGTGGCAGTTACACAGATATATATTGCTATTAAAATTCATGTAACTGAATATGCAAAACTTGTGCATATAATTGCATGTAATTTACACTTCAATAAAATTCAGCTTCCCCTTGTTCCCAAGTCTGACTTTGTCCTCATCTTCACCCACCAACGAGAAGTTGGAAAGGGCTGAGGGCTGGCCCGTGTCCACACGTGAGGGATTTCTTCAAAAGCAAAAGATGCAAAGGAGAACTCAGCTCATTCTTAAAAATCAAGTTATTTTCATCAGGAGATAAGAGGACCGAGCAGAGAAACACACACACACACACACACACACACACACACACACAGGCTAATTCCCACCCAGAAACGTCACTGTGAATCAAGCATGGTAGCGATTCAGATGGCTCCGTCTGATCTTGACAGCAGCTGGTGTTTGTGATTCAATAAACAGCATGGGTTACAATAGGGTCCTTGTAGGCAATAAGGACCCTGTTCATTTTTCTATTACCAGAACATCTGGCACATCCATTTACAAGGGAAAAAAATGGGTATGCACAAAATTCTAAAGGTGAAAAATACGTTTTTGATACTCTAAAAGACCTTCTCCCCAAACTGGTTTAATTGAGACTAACAGCATAAAGCCAAAGACGGTAGGACCCTCCTCAGGGTTGTCAGAATACTGAAGGGGCAAGCCAGGCTATAAAGTGCGGATGGTACCCAAGGGCTTTCCTGGGGTGTTTATGACTTTGGACCATAAAAGCCATGTGGAGCAGGAGTGGGTACAGTTAGTCCGAGCAGGTCAGTCATGCACCCCCAGCCTGGGGTATTGAACTAGTCCTGCTCAACAGATACATAATATGAGCCACATGCCTAATTTTGTCTAACAGCCACATTAAAAAATTCTTAGAAACAACATCAATTTTAATAATATATATTATTAAGTGTAATATATCCACTGCTTTGTATAACCAATATAAAATTGTTAGTGAGATTTTGCTTGCTTTGCATTGTCATTCAAATCTGGTATAGCTGAGCATCGTAGCTTATGCCTATAATCCCAGCACTTGGGAGGCTGAGGCAGGAGGATCACTGTGCACCTGAGGCCAACCTGGGCTGCAAAGTGAGTTCAAGGCCAGCCTGAGCTGCCTAATAAAACCCTATCTCAAAAAGACGAAAATAAAAACCAAGCAAACAAGATCTGCCATATATTTTCACTCACAGCTCTTCTCGCTCCCCTTCTGCATTCCCATTTGCAAAGTGTGGCAGTGGCTGCTGTACCAGTTGGCACAGTAATGAACGATATGCAAGGTGGTTAGGTCTCAACAGCATGCACCCTCCTGTGACCATGAATACTGTGTTCTTTAGGGACCTCAGGATGCTGCCTCTATGAGTGATGTGATGGTGAGAAATAGCACTTAGAAAGAGTGATGGGGGGATGGTGGTATAGACCCTGACCCACAGTCACCGAGAGGATGAGAAGATGAAGTGCTTTTTCCTGCTTTCTACGGAAGAATATAAACCAGGAGATGTGACCACTTCCTCCAAAGCAAGGTCTCTAGGCTGGCAGTTCTCAATGGGAGATGCAGGGTCTCTGTAATCCCTGAGATCTTTGCGAAGATCCAAATTGTTTCCATAACAGCCCCGAGATGTTGCTTGTCTCTCTGCTCACCTTGACACCTGCACTGCTACTGCACAAGCAACAGAGCATGAATTTGCTGTCACTGTGCACAAACTACTGGAGGACAGTGCTAATCCTACTGTATCCACCAAGAACTCGTACTCACAGTAAAGAAATAAAAATTTAAAAATCCAGTTTCACTTAAGAATGTCTTGAGAAAGTAGTAAAAATTACTAGTTTTATTAATCTTGATCCACGACACCTGTAATTATCTGAAAATGTATTTAAATACTCTTTCTTTGTCTAATTCTGCACCTGGGAGAAGCTGAGCTTTCATCAGAGACTGCGACCAAAATAAAGTATCTCAGTAAATAGCCCAGAAGATTTGTAACAAACAATGCTACTTATCTTACTCAATAGTTTTTTTTAAAAATTGATGTTTTGCACTAAAAATGTAATTTACATTAATATGCAATGTGTTGTTATATTATTATTTTATATATTTTAATTATAATAAAACTTTTTACATATTTCAGGTTTAGTACCTAATATGGTAAATATAAATAGGTAGAAGTCATGTGGCCTAAAGCTCTTTGCATATTCATCACTTTCTCACTTGTTCTGTGACCAAGTTTGGGACCGCCTACTCTAGGTCACACCTGGATGAAATTATTTCCATCCCTGGTCAGGTGGAGCAACTTTCAAGAAAGAGGAGCTAAGTCTCTCTTCAGGAGCCTAACGTGAGTGAGATCCTTAAGCTGTGTGCTGTCTCTCCAGGACAGGGCTGGGAGGCTGAGGGAGGACTTTCGGGAGGTGAGCGGCACCACCTTGTGCAGCATCAAGGGCCACAGAAGGGGCGACAGAAGGCTTGCTTTCCTGAAGGTGGCTCCTATGCTCCAGAAGGCACAATGTGGGAATCAGCTGTTAACTACGCTCCCAATACTCATGCAACACAGCCAGGAATCAGAGACTTTCTGGGCACAGGGCTCTGTGGAAGATCTCAGCCTCTCCTAGGTCTCCCCAGGCAGAGAACACAGCCTGACAGCATGTTTGGTGTGCAAATCTGTGCCCTCATCCAGAGAGAACATGGAGTTGTACAGGTAAAACTCAGATCTCCGGTTGGCCTATGGGCGGGAAGCCAATGTGAACAGGCTGTGCTAAGGATGCAATACTAGCCCTGATGACCGTGACCTCCCCATCACTCTCTTCCTATCTGGTGCTGCCTCAGACACCCCCCCACCCTTGAGCAGTTGAGCTGTGCCTCATCCTACATCCATTCCACATGACCGTGGCCATGGGGGCTGGATGGTGCCCAGTGTGTGACTCCACACAGCTCTGCACCAATCAAGTTTCTAACCATCTACTAGACAACACTGTCTAGAGGTTCTAGCAGCATCTCTGAATCAAATCACCTCAAATCTCTTCTGGTAATTTGCATCTCACTGGACAGAACCATCCAACACCACACTGCTGGGACAGCCCCTCATCCTCCCTTTTCTCCATGCCTGATAACAATGACCAGAAGCTTGATAACTAACTAGATTTTACAATACCTCAAAGAAGCATCCTGTATGGTCTCCAGCAACCCAACCCTGAAGAAGCACTTTTCCTCCTGTATATGGAAGACGACAGCAGCTTCCCAACTGGCTTGCTATCTAAATCCAGCCCCTGCCCTCCATCAGCACTTCTCTCAGTGTTACTTGCATTTCTAAAGAACAAATCTGATTGTGACTTAAAGCTTCAACAAGACCCTACTGCCTATAGGATTAGCACAAACTCCTTTGTATGGGCCATCAGACCATTTCAAGGATGGTCTGGCCACTATTAGAGCGTTTAGTACACTGTGAATAGTGCTTTTTGAGCTGCATTTTAAATCATAAGTTCTTCAAAGACAGAAATGCCTCATTCATCTCCCGTCTCAAAAGCCTGGCCAATGATGAGAACTCAACAAATGTTCAGTAATTATTTTGTTGACCGAATGTCTTAGTAAGGCCTTTCTCTGGAATGCTAAGACAGTGGCCCCTACTACCATGTCACAGTCAGAGATCAGCTTGCCTTCCCTGTGCCCTCCGAGAGGCACATGATGAAGACAAGGAGAGATGTGGCATTAGTTGGAGGATGTTTTCACCAAGGAAAGTCTTGTTTTCAACATATGAGTCCTATAAATTAAGAAGTCTTGTTTCACAGTAAAAATATGCAACCTTACACACCTAAGGTTATCAGTATAAGAGACTCTGTTGTGTACTTCATGAGCTCAAAAATAGCCTCATTTATTTATAAACCTAGTACATTATGGACCCAAAGCACATTTCAGCTTAATCATCTGCTTTAGTAGCCAGGTTTGATCCAAATGAATAAAGGACAAAAATCTCCCACGAGGAACTACACTCCTAAGAATGCATGTTAATTCAATTAGAAATCCACACAGGAAAATTTCTAAGGTGTGGGGCAGCAGCAGCTTCCATGGGACACATTTATACATCCACTCAAATCAAACAATTCAAAAAGGGTGACATTGATCTGGATGAATGAGTTAGCACTTTTTTTTTTCTTCGCAGTACCGGAGATTGAACTCAGGACCCTGCACTTGCCAGGCAAGTGCTTATTCTACTGAGCTATCTCCCCGGTGAGTTAGCACTTTTTAAGATATAAAAATTATATCCTATATGCACTGTTGGCAGATATATTTTTACATAAATATACCATTAATCTATACCAGTGGTGATTTTGGTATCTGTACATACTTTTCTCATCATCATTTTTGCTTTATGAAATTTGTTTTAATTTCCTAACCATATGAGATCAACAATAGCTAATGTATTATAGTTATGATATATTATTACTTTCTTAGAGTACAAGACACAGACAAAAAGATTATCTATTATAAAGGAGAAACTAATAGATAATAGCATCAAGTAATACTGTTTTTGCCTACATATACAGAGGACTACAATCGAATCAGTTGGAGTAGCTGACACACACGGAGACCCAGCCTACCCAGAACTCCCCGTGGCACTGGTAGCGCCTTACCATGATGCTCTTGTACATGTTGCCATTGTTGTCCTCTATGCTGATGCGGATGATGCAGGTGTCTTCGTTCTGTTGGTTGTAAACGGGGGGCAGTACTGTGGAGGTAATGGACGTCACAGAGACGGAGCGCTTATGGATTTTAGGGTCGTTGCTACAGGGTGGCGGGGAAGAGAGGGGGTTGAGTAAGGTCGACATCCCTGAGGAATTTGTGTCCATGGAGTGGATGGAAGAACATGAGGAGGAGGACTCGGAGAGCTGGAAGAATGAACACATTCCAGAAGAAAACAACCGTTAGCATCTGCGCCAACAGGCATCTACTGTCAAGGCAGAAACAGACACCAAGACCAATGAACTCAAGCCCACAGCCCACGCATATCTGTCGCTGGAGTGAATGCACCCCCTATGGCAGCTGCCTTTCCGTGATTCAGTGTAACCCAGCAATTTCTACACAGGAGACAGTGGTCTCATTTGCTGTTTTTAGCAGTTCTTATGGCAGTCAACCAGCAGGTGGCAGCAGCTTCCAGGGCTAGAGATCAGCCTCCCACTATGTCAGTCTCACTTCCTTGAGTCCCAACAGACTTTACAGCGTGGGTGCCCTGACCCCACCATCAGATTTTGCAGTAGGAAACAAATAGCTACTTTTTTTTTTTTTTTTAAGTTCCTGAAATAAAGACCAAAGATTGCATATCTCTGTGTGGATTGTTAGTGCTGGAAAGGCCCTAGAGATCACCTGGCCCTGTTCTCTTTCTAATGCCCAGGAGCCCCAGGACTCAGAAGGAACACAGGGCCCCACGCACACTTGACCAGTTGACAGTTCCACCAGGGTGGGCACCCCTGCTTCCTGATGCCCAAGAGCAGAGCCAAGACTCAGTCTGCTACTGAAGATAGCATGGCAAAGTAACTGAACATATCAGCCCCTTGGCACGTTTAGCACCATAAAGAGGCTAATAAGCTTTCATGTATTTTATGTCATTTAGATCTCACAACTGTCATGTGAACAAAGAGCAGAGCATTAGAAAGATGAAGAAGAGTAAGATTCAAAGAAGTCAAACACTTGACAAAGGGAGCACAACCCTTGACAGGCTCTGCCACATTTAATCTAGAACTGACAATATACAGGTTCACAGCCTTCACAAGGATGATCAAAAACTATGGTGAAATTAAAAAAAATTAAATTACAGTAAAAGGCATATTGTCAAGAATCATAAGGCTGATTTGGTATCTGTATATTCAAAATAGTTAGGATATACAGCTGCATTCTCTTAATTCAATGAATAGAGAGATTTGTTCTAATAGTGTTTGTGGACAGGTTATCATGTTTGTATCTATTACAATGAATAACCACTAAGACAACAATATGCAATGTATTCACGATTGAAACTGTGCTAGTAATCGGTTTTGAAACTGTCTCATCGCTATTTGTTTCTCAATAAAATTATTTTTTAAAAAATCAATGGAAAAAAAAAGAATCATAGGACTGGGAAGATAGCTCAGCAGCACAAGCACCTATCTGGCAAGCACAAGGTCCTGAGTTCAATACCTGGTATCAAAAAAAAAAAAAGAAAAAGAATCATAGAATAAATGTTGTAAGTAAAGAGGAAATTTTGAGTATTTAAAGAGGGGTTAGTGGCAATGTGCCACTGACTATATAATAAAGCCCTCACCGTGCAGTACTTTTTATCAGACTGTGTATCTAAGACAATTGAGAAATGGGGTGCTGCAGTGCATGTGCTTTTCTGGTTAACCGTGCATCTATCAACATGCAACACAAATTACCAAAGAAAGAAGATGCTTAACATTCACTAAGAGATTTCACCATTAAAAAAAATTACTATTATCAATAAAATTTTGAAAATAGAAAAAAAAATTACTACATGGAACCATTTTAAATTCATCCTTACAGAGAAAATCAGAACTTCTTAGAATGAGTTGAGGTATATTATACCATATTAATCCTATAAAATATTGTGAAAGTCTTTTAAAATAAATAATATCAAATTCTTTCATACTCTGCCCTTCCATGGAAACAGAACATACGAGTTTAGCTTTCTGATCATCTGGCTCCTAAGAAAATAAAGTCTGCTTTATCTTATGTCCTAGGAGCTGCTGCTTCCTCTGGCACAAATTTGCATTAAATGCTACTGCATGTTCTGTTTCATTAGAGCCAGTAAGCTGATGTGACAATGATGTACTTTCTGATGTACAGGAGTACCTGGACCCATCATAACATGCTTCTCTCTTTTTCCCCCCCTTGTCTTCCCAGGTAAATCAACTTTGTAGCTCATTTTAAGAGGTGATGATAGATTAATGCTAATAGCATTGTCAAATTAATGCCATCATCCAAATATTGGGTTTTTGTTTTTTGTTTTTAATTTTGGGGGCCTGCCAGTTAGTTCAGTTGTTTAAGCACCTGCTTATGCAAACACAGTCAGGTGCAGGACACCTCAGTTCAATCCCCAGACCCGCCCTTAAGGTAGCCTGAGCTAGCCAAAAAAAAAAAAAAAAATTTATGTTCCCTTTGTGAGATTTCCACAATCTTAACATTTACAATGAACACAAAGACTTGAGGGTGGCTATGGTAGCGGGGTTATAAACAAACCACTCGATGAACCCATGTCCTGTTCTTAGTGAGAACTCAGTGAGGAGGAACTGCGAACATAAATGTTCACAAATTGTGGTCATGAGAGAAATCAGAAGAAAAAGAATGTAAATTACATTCACTTTTAAAGAGAGTAAGCTCACAGTGTAACCTGTGGGCAGCAAGGTGACAGTCTGTGGCCGAAAAAGACTGTGGAGGACGCCCAGGCCCAGCTTTGTACTAAACGAGAAGACTGAGCCATTCTAGGGAGCACCCAGGCACTCTGCACCCCAGAAATGTCTTGCATCAAAGCCAAAAACTCATCTTTAAATCTACAGAAAATCAGCTCTAAGACTCATCCAAAGAACAAAAAGCCACGGCTTGTACAAGAATTAAACAGCAGGGTGTGGGTTTGGACAAGTAACATAAAGCAAGGGGCGTGCAAAGAACAGCACATTGGGCACCTGCAAGACTTAGAGGGATGATCTGAGCTTAGGCACACTTCCTCTGCGCCACCAGATGTGAACACAAATCCATGTCCTTCCTAAAAGGAGAAACCCCCAGAGATGTGGGTAATCCCTCTGTGGTCTCCTTCATACACTTCATCATCAGCTATGGGACCTACTGAGCACAGCAACCCATTCAAAAGTGAACTAAACTCGATTCTAGATTCTGATGAGTCCAACACTACCTGTCAAGCATGGGAGAATGACTGCATCCCAGGCTTAGGAAATGAGTCTGCTGAGGGAAGAGCAGTCCACAGGGATCGCACAGCTTTCTCTTTAACATTCAGGGCTTAAAGCCTTGTATCCCCCGGACTCTCCACAGACAGGTGAGAAATCCAACTGAGGCAGCATGTGAGCCACCTCTGTCTGATGGGCACTGAATGTGAGGCCTCTCCTGCATTGGTTTCTTTGTGACAAAGTCACCAGAGGGTTCTCAGATTGCCATTGTTACTACTAACACCGTGTGAAGCAATAAACAGATGCCCTTGCTGAGCAGCAGACATAAAATGATGGGACTGTTACCAATGCTCTATCACCTTGTTGACCTAAGTAGAAGCTAAAAGACCAGAAGTCACCACAGAGAAAGTGCAGTGGCCAAAAATCTCCCCTGGAGTAAGTTCTAGTCATAGCAAAGTTGACCTCACTGATCTAAGCTCCCTGACAAGCAGGTTGAAGTGGATGTACATCCAAGATCAAGACTGATATTTTGTTTTATTTCCATTTATTTATGCAGCCATGATAAATGAACACTTTCTATGAGAATTCTTTTATCACTTATCACTACCATTTGTCTCAGACATGGGAGATTGCATCGCCACTGCACTTCCTCGCCCTCTCCGTGTCCATGCCCTTTGCCCTGTGATTTATTTCACAGTTGCTCCCAGTAAAAAGGAGGGCATATCTTCCTGATTTGCTTACTCATGTGGGATTTGACCACAAGATTATGTTAGCTGATGGATTATCAGTAGATATGAGCCAAGCAAAGGCTTTCTATGTGCTTGCCGGGTTGGTAGATGAATGCTGCTTAACAGCATGCTTCTGGTAGATTATTACTCCAAAAACAATGAGAGGTCGATGGAGTGGATCTGGACCAAAAGTAGCCTAGAACTAAGGCTGAATGAAATCAGTCAAACCCTTAGGTGCATGAGAGAGATGGAATGGTTGTTGTTCTAAGTAACTGAGTGTTGGAACAATTTGCTGTCCAATATTCAATGGCAAAACCCATTAAGACAAAGTCTGGAAGGAAGAAGTTCACACAACATCCCTGACTCTGACTTTCCATATTTTTAAAGCAACACTGCTGCTTCTCTAAAAGAAAGTACTGATTCCTGCCAGCGCCCAGGCCCGGCTTGTAAACGGGACTACCCAGGGCCCGCCAGATCCTCATTCTAGCCAGCACCCAGGCCAGGCGTGTGTGGAACTTCCTCCACCAGACAGGCCCAGTGTGGAACCCTGTGGCAGAACTCCCTGCAGAGAGGCTAGAGGCAAGACCCACCTAGCTAATCTAAGAGCAGAACACATTGCCAGAATGGCACAGCGGGTTCACTTCCAAGGGCTGCAGCAGGAAGAAGTGGAGCCCAGCAGCCAGACCCAAGCCACACCCACCTGGATGGGTTTGAATTTGGTAGATCCAGACCTGGGCTAAGGTAATAACTGCAGCAAAGCTCTACACCAAAGGTCAGAAGACAGTGCTATACAAAACAACAAAGAGAAGGAGAAAAATGCATTCTCAGGCTCCAAGTCCACCCAGAACAAATGCGGGAGACAATAGCATAAAGAAATTGGAAAACACACACCTGAAATCTCATAGCGTCTGAAGTAAAGAAACAACCGCAGAAAAGTATAAAGGAAATCAGATCAGAAATAATTTCTGAGGTAAAAAAGGAAATGATAACTATAATTAAAGAAGTACTAAGTGCTGCTAAAGAAGACCCTGATTAAAAAAAAAATAGAGGAGAAAAAGCTACAACTCTTGTTGCATAGGTCCTGCTTTACCTTGGTCTAAGGAAAGTATAACAACGAAATATAAGAAATAAAGCCATGCTGTTATATTGAGCTGGGGGGTACTCAGGTCAGCAATTTCTGACATTGCCAGTGAAGCAGCAGACCCAATACTATTATGGGCTACTGGACTCTTTTAGAATATTTTGCTGAGTTTACACACCTATAATATTCAAATAACAGAACTTAACAACAACAAAAAAAAGGTATACAGATGAATGTCCATTTTGTATCTGTGTATTCAGGGTGGTTAGGATAGATATATAGTTACATTCTCTTAATGAATAGAATGATTTGTTCTAATGGTGTTTGTAAATAGGATGTCGAGTCCACATCTTGTACAGCAATTAACCACTAAGAAGAATGTATGCAGTGTGTTAATTATTGAAACTGTCCTACCGATTTAATTTGAAACTGCCTCATTGCTATTTGTTTATCAATAAAATTATGGAAGAAAAATAAAATAAAATCACTTTGAAATATAAAAAAAATAGAGGAGAATAGAAAAATGATGGAATCCTTGAATGAGCAATATAGGAAAGAAATAGAATGCATGAAGTAGATTCAGAGATATACAGGAAATTAAAACCTCAATCACATGCTGGCAAAACCATTTGAATGAAAGTGAAAACAGACTTTCAGACTTTGAAGACACTATTGCAGTTAGTGAATAGGTAAGAAAAGATCTCTCAAAAGAAAGTAGTACGTGGCTTATGCTAGTAGTCGGTCCTTTAGTTCCTTTGCATGTGAGTATTAAATAATGTTTGAAAGGCCAAAGAACAAACCAATCTGGTTACTGCTTTTATAACTGTTTTATACAGAATAGGTCCCCAGATTGAACTCTGCTTTTGCCACCTCTTAAAAACCTGACTTTGAAAACATACCATAATGAGCTTGAGAGCAGACCCTCCATGGGTGGCAGAAACCCTGTCAGAAGCCCGCATGAGGAAGTATGAGAAGGGTTGCATGCATACCTTCTTCTGAGGCTCATCCGGGGTGTCCATCGGGGTCATAGAGCCCTCCTCCACCTCGGAGTGGTTCGACTCGCAGGAGGACACACTGACGGAGTCCATGCTTTCCCCAGAGCTCCCACTGGCGGTGGACTTGGGCTGCTCTTTGGTGGGAGTGCTGCCGGTGATGAGGTCAGACCCCAGAAACAGGCTGCAGAAAACAGAATGCCAAGCACTCAGTTGGGTTTGAACCTACAACCTATGATTACACCAACACTTTTGTCCAAGTAAGCCCTTAGTGGCTTCTCATCTCTTATAACTTAGTATTTCTCAAATTCATTTCTATAAAATTTCTAATAGTGGCAAATATCTTGCCCCAAAGGCTATTCCAACTTCAAAGAGCATATGGTTGTTTAGCTGCCAAATCTGGGGGTTTTCTAGGTCAATGTTCCTGTCTTTTAATGGTCTACAGACCACTTTGATGGGATTAAAATACCATCAGCACTACCACCACACTCCTACAACTTTCTACCATAAAATGAACCTTATGTCCCTGAAAAGTGAACTTCACAAAGCCGCTGTGCTTTGGACAGGAAGCTGAGGAGAAGGCTTCTACTTCCAATCCTCTGGTGAGCTATAACAACCTAAACCCCTCCTCTGTTAAACAACTAGGTAAGAAATATAGCAACTGCTTCCAGTTGAACTTACAGGCTGTTAAGGGAAATCCCTATGGCCATAAATGAAAGGGGAACTGAAAACTAGAAGCATGAAAGCTATATCTGCAGCAGTCCTTTTAGGGAATTGGCAAATCTTGGCAAAATAGTGATTTAAAAAATTTTAATTAATGTGTTTTAATTGTACATACTACAATTGTGTAGTTCAGTGTGGTTATTTCCATGCATTGATCGTAGGTTTTAACATCTATGCAGGACTCAGAGATAAGGGCTTCCTTAATAAAATGTGAAGAAATAAAAACCTTTAGGGAAGGTCATGGCCCTCAAAGAGCTGCCCTCTTAGTAAAGAGAGGTCCTGAATATGCAAATGTATTAATTATTATAAGTGTCCTACTAACCTGTTTTGAAATTGTCTCATTGCTATTTGTTTCTCAATAAAATTAATAATAAAAAATAAAGAGAGGGCCGGGAAAAATGTGTTCTATTTGCTTAGGAAGACAACAGGTTGCCTGGTTGGAAGAAAAATACACCCCTTGAAATCATGTATGAGTGTGGCCTGTAGGTCACTCTGGTTTGCTATCCACATGGTCTTGAAGGTCGGGGATCTCAGGCTGGGGACACACAGAGGAGAAGTAGATAGTTGGAAGGGAGAGAGGAAAGCCAGAAGGAAGAGAGGGAAAGTGGGGTAGGAGGGAAAGATCTTTCTGGAGGAACATATCTTCAACCCAGGCTGCAGAGAATTCCCTGATAAAGACAAGCTTATAATACTATATCACACAAATACACATAGGAATATATTTCACTCAGAGTCAACAGGCATAAAAACGGGTTTAGCTTCCTGAGAATCTTGGGTATGAGAACTCTCAGCAAGAAACTTTAGTAATTTATTCATTCATTTAACAAATATCTGCATGTCTACCATAAGCCATGCTATTAAAATAATTATGTTTAAAAATGTTAAAGACATATGAGAAAAACAAAAGAAATATGAGGAATACTGAAAACAGCACTTCAGAGTAAGAGATTCTAACAAAAGAATAAGAAGTTAATCTGAAAAAAAATTCATTTTTAAATGAAAAATGTAGTGGATTTAAATAAAAACTTGGAATGGTTAAATAACTTCTATTGCTAAGGGCTCTGGACTTCATTCAGCGGGAGACAGAACCTGTGGAGTTGGTTGTGAAGGTTTCCTCACCTGCCTGGCCCTCAGGTAGGCCCAGGCCAAGATGGGCAGGATGAGTTTCTGTTCTCAGATTGTGTACATGGCCCTGAAGAGCCAGTGTGAATACAGAAGATAGAGTAGATGGCAATATCCACAAGGGTTCTCTCAGGAGATAATAGTTTTGTTGCCACCTGAGGAAGCTAGTCATGAAAAAATAGCACCATAGGCCATAAGAACAACGGATATAAGGGCCTTGGAGCAGGACCAGGCCTTGCGTGGGAGGGCAGAAGGCTGGCACGGTGGGTCTTGGGGAGCAAAGGGGAGTGCTGTAAGGGAGGGAAGGTGGGGGGTAGGACACCTAGGGCTTAGGAAACTAGCATCAGGAGCTTAAGTTTTATTTTAAAATAAAACAATAGAGGTTTTTTGAGAAAGGCAGTGACACAGTCTGTCATTCAAAACATTACCAGGTCCTTCAGTGGAAAATGGATTTTGGGGACTAAGAAACAGATAGCAAGGAGACAGAGAGTAAGGCTGCTCCTGTCCTGCTTGATGGGAGGATTTGACAGTGGTGCACACCAGAAAAGGGAGAGGAGAAGAATGAATAGATTTAACCCCTTCTCTAGTGGAGACCTCCTTGAACACACTCCTCTCCCCCCTGTAGCTGGGCGGGGCACTCACAGGCTGAGCCTCTTCACCATACTCTTCCGAGGCTTGGGTGAGGTGGTGCTGGCTTCCGCTGCTGTTTCGATCTCACAGGAGAAGGCATAGCTGGGGGAGAGAAAGAGTGCTTAGGAGCTCCAAGTCTGAGAACCAAAAGACACATTTGTATTCACACCATTGCTTAGTTGTATTTTAGAAGAAGCTCCAATCATGCAAAGCAAAGACACAGACCATGCTGTTCTAACAGGAATCTCAGAAAGGAGATCTTACTGACCATCAAGTACTTACTTGATGAACAGATTTTACAAATTCCCATCAGGCACCTCTTCCCCACTCCCCTCCCTGGCATAAGAGTTGAGGCTGCTTACTTCTTATGCCTCAAATACAAAGACCTGCGCATTTCACAGCAGTGGAAGCTCATTCCATTTCCAACCACTGCTAGGCTGGGGTAAGAATCTTCCACCATCACCCCTTCTTATTTCTTCCCTACTCTCTCCTTCCTACTACCTTATGTGTCTGTGAGTGTGTGTATGTGTGCACACTCATGTATATATGACTCACTTTTATCTAAGGGAAAGGAAAGAAGATTTTTGTAAAGTATCTAAACATCAGTGAATAGATACAGATAATTATATTATTCATAAGAATAAATAAATATGATTGTAACCTGGGCATTGTGGAGCACACCTATAATCCCAGCACTCAGGAGACTGAGGCAAGAGGATTATCATTGGTTCAAGGTCATATACAAGACCAGCCTAAACTACATAGTGAAACGTTGGCTCAAAAACAAAGCAAATAAATAAGACTGTATCTATGTCTCCTAATTGCCAAAACATCTTAAATTAAAAAGATTCCCAGCCTTGGATATCTGTAGAACAGGCAGATCTAACTGCCACAAGTACCAGAAGAATTTATATAAAATAAGAGGCCTTATTTGAAAGATTGTGGCTCAGGATGAAGATGTACATGGTTACAGGGGAAGTGGGGAAGGTTGCCCAGCATTATACAACCACCTTTAGAGATTAGGTCGTACAGTTTGGCAGACCTGAGTAGGAATCCAAACACTGTTACCAATTGATTATAATATTCCTCCAAAACCCAGCCTGTCATTAACAAATACTTATTTTGCTATCAACTTCATCCTCCCCTATGACAAACTTTCAAAGAAATTCCCTGAGAACAGCAAGCATTTTGTGGAAAAGAGCAGATAATAAGTATTTTAGGTTTATGGGCCATCTGGTCTCTGTTGCAGCTACTCAACTCTGTCTTTAAAGCATGAAATCAACCATAGATACGATGTAAATGAAGGGGCTGTGTTCCAATAAAACTTATTTATGGATTCTGAAATTTTAATTTCAAATAACTGTCCCATGACATATTATTCTACTCCCCCCCCCATCATTTAAAAAAATGTAAAACAGGCAGTGGACCACATAGGGATTACAGCCTAATCTGCCATCAATGAGGCTACAGGAAAAGCCTGAACCCCCACTGGGGCCAGTCAAAGCACTAGAGTTACTGTGCCTTTCCATACTGATGACCCTGTGTGAGTCCCACCCACACTAGTTACAACTGTTTCTTCAAATGCCAAATCTGTCAGGCTAGCAGGCCTTTCCTGTATTCACTGCCTGGAATGTTCTTCTCCAGTAAAATCCAGCCTCTATGGAAATGGCCACAAATCTTCCCTACTCCCCTTCCTGCCTTCAGCTAAATGAACTGCCCTAGCCTAGTGATTCCACAGCACTTTACTTATTCATCATATTTCAATGTATTATGAGTCTTTCTCTAGCCCTAGATTGGAAGCTCTCTGACAGCTAGCATTCTTGACCACAGAGACAAACACAGAGACAGGAGAGTGCGAATGCCTGTGACAGCAATGATGATTTGCATTCTGATACTTTCCCAAATCAGAGTTTACCTAAGCCTCAGAACATTTTACGGTGAGCATACTAAAGCCAGGGGAGAATAAAAGGCATGTTCTGGGCCACAGAAATGAACATATAGCAGAGCAGTACTGAAAGTGTATCTCCCAGTGTTATCAGCTCAGCTCCACACCACACTTCCTGGAAAGCCAAGACAGCTTCCACCAAATAAATGGCTATTGAGTGAGTGACCCAGGAGATACTGCGTTCCTCTCGCCTGCACCTTAGTTCCACCCTGATGGTGATGGCTGGGCCTACCTCTCCTCCTCCGTGAGCAGCTGCTGCCGCTGGAACCACTGGATGAACCTGGGGTCTGGGGTCATGCAGTAGCTGTTGCAAGCAGACTGTAAGAGCTTTATCTGGGCAATCACTTCAAATTCCTAAAGCAGGCGGAACACCAAAAAGAGTGAGTGACTAATATGGTCAACCAAATATAGATCTTTTCAACATGAAAATATACCATCTCAGGATAAAGCAAGGAGACAACCACCCAAGAATCCTGAAATATTCCTTCTGTAGAAATAAAATAGTTTGAGAACATTCCAAATTCTAGCTCTGAGGCTAAGGTTATAGCTCAGTGGTAGAGGGCTTGCCTATGTACTCAAAGCCCTGGGTTTAAGCCCTTGCATGAGGAAAGGGGAAAGGGTCTTAGCTCTGAAACTGTGAATCTCTAAAGTCTTCATATGTTTTAATTTTTAATCCTCTTTTCTTCTTGAAAAAAAAATTCATATAAATAAAACAAGCTACCAAAGTTAACCAAACTAATCACTCACTACCAAAAGTGATAAGCGCTTTCTTTCTCTTTTGCATTTTCATTTGAGAATAGCAAAGTTATTTTATTAAGGTTCTAAGTACATACTTCAGGATATATGTGAGCTCTTTCTATTTCTGTTTCTTTAAAAATAAGCAAAATAAATACTTTAAGACAAGAAGCTCCTAAGTTCCCCATGACAACTTCTTCAATCCTTAGCCTATCCATAAATACATTTTGGTAAGTCTGAATATCTAAACAGTTCAGAGGCTCAGAAAGGTCAATGTTTAGATTTCCTGAATCCTGAGGTTTTTACTGCTCCAGTAAATCATTTAACCAAATCTTCTAAATCTCACAAAAGAAGCAAGTATGTAATTATGTCTCAAATTATTTATATCTCTTAAATGCTTTAAAAGACTTTTTTAAAGTCAGCAGTGAGTATAAGCTTTAGCTTTAGGTTTTATAATACACTTTGTGAATGTTTAACATCTTAGTCTTACAAGGGAGGAAATTACCATCCAGACTTATTCTGAAGTTAAAGAACAAAGATGATTACTGTGGAGGCATAATTGAATTTTTAAAAAGTATATCATTACAGAACATGGTAGAAGTAACTCAAGAACTAGCAGATTCTCTGAGTCTCAAATTTCAACCCAGTAACCTCAGGCCTTGGTCTCAGTATCATCAAGGAATATTTATTATGCTAAAGAAGATAGTATACTCTGTGAGGGACAGAAAATTAATGTTTGTTGAAGTTAGCAGAGCTCGAGCTGGTTAGCTCCTTTCAGTTTTAATTCCAATGCCATTTCTACTTGCAAATCTTCCTGACCCTACAATTTGGGGTAGAAGCCTCTTCCACACACTTCTCTGAGATCCATTACTCATGATCGCAAGTCCTTATTTATTTGTCTATCTCTGCCCTAGATTATTATTTTATGAGGACAAGGAGCTCTGGTTTTACTCTGCTGCAATCTCCAGAGTCCCTCTGTTAGGTATACAATCAATATTTGTAGGACAAAAGAACAAATAAACTAATAAAAAAAATGTGGTTACTATGGGTGAAGCTGTTTTGCTCACTAATTTTTCCTCTGAAATATTTAAGTATCTATTTAATTAAACCATTTGACATAAAAACCATACCAAATTTTCAAATTTGCTTTATCTTTTTTAGCATAACTCAGAACTGTTCTATCCACAAAGAATTCAAATCAGTGTGGAACACCCTTTCCAATACTGACAGGAAGGGAAAAGAATAATTACCTCTTCCTGACAGTGAAGACCAGTTCCTCCCCTTTCCCCAAATGGACCCACAAAAGTTAGCCAGCTTCATTAATTCTTCTATGTCATTTACTCTTTTAATTTTTTTTTTAATTTATGTGTGTGTGTGTGTGTGTGTGTGTGTGTGTGTGTGTGTGACCAGCTCAGCCCACCAGGGGGCGGGCTGGCTGGCATGTGGTGCTGGGGATTGAACCGTGGTCCCTGGGCTTTGCTAAGCTTATTCTAAGTAGGTGCTTTAGACCACTGAGCCATCTCACCAGCCCCTCATTTACTCTTAAGAAATCCTTTCTCCTTAATAGGATGACTTATTTTTTGAATTCAAAAATAAAAACTCTGTATGTTAATGGTGTATACAACATTGTTTGAAATATGCATATATTGTAGAATTAAGCTAATTAATATCTCACATACAGTACTTATTTCTGAGAACACTTCAAATATACTCTCGCAGCAATTTCTGAGTGTACAGTACATTGTTATTAAGTATTGGGTGGACCTAATTATAAAGGAAATGAGAAAGCACAAAAGGGAGAAATTACACTTAATTTCTTAATGAGCTTCAGCATGGCAGATAAGATCTGCATGCTGGCTCTGTGATCAGGTAACCATGTAACTCTGGCCCAGTTATTTAATCTTGTAAATCCCAGTTTCCTCACCTTTGAACTAAAACTGAGCTCACACGGGCCCTCAGAGCCTAATGCCCAGGTGAGTGCCCAGCATAGAAGCACAGAGTAAGTGCTCAACAGCATTCTTTTTTTTCTCCCCTGCCTGTATAATAAAAAACCAAAACCCCTTAATTTTCTTTTTAATTTTTCATGCCCTGATAAAGAAAACCGAAAAACATAGCCAGGAGCTCTACTTACCCTTCTCCTTTTTTCAAAGTTAATTAGTCCTCCCTGAAAGAAATTTTTAAAATATAGTGACCAACCATGATTATTTGAAATACAGCCCTATGTTGTTCAACGTTACATTAAAATAGTTCAAAGAGATGATAAAGTCATCATTATTAATGAGCCTTTAATTATGGCAACTTTGGGGGAAGAGGACCACCTTTCACTTGAAGAAAAATATCCTCTTCATTTATAGTAGAGCAGGATAAACAGACAGCCTTCTCTTAAAATGTCTGAAATAACTAAAATAGTAATGATAATTACAAATCAGAACCCAAAATTATTTGCAGAGCCAGTAAAGACAAATGATTGAGTAAAACATTCCATTCCACTTTTTCTTTGACCAAAGGCAACAAAAACAGATGGTCACTGATTCAGACTAGAAACCAAATTGTCAATGGTTTATCAAAAGGGAAGTTGCTTTTTCATAGTATCATGAAAAATTAAGTTTCAATTCTTCATGCTTCTCACAGTTATCCTCAATGACGACTTTCACATCCAAATCTGAGATCCCTGCCCCCAACTCCCCCACGTTGATGGGTGTTTCCTGAGATAAGCCAAGGCAGAGGATGGAAAGAGACCCAGAGCTCAGGAAGTGTAAAACGCACAGACATGTCCACAGTTCTCGTGGCCAACCTGGAGGTAGCTGTACCCTACACTAAGTAACTCTGATTCTTTCCGTTATGTACAATAAAAGCAAAAAGTAGAATGTACTTAAACCAACAAAGTAGAATAAGCTTATATATACAAGTAGACTTTAAATCTCTTTTCAAATAACAAATTTCTCTCCTACTTAATATTTTATTACTGCTACTAACAAGTATCACTCTTTTCCTATCCCAAGAGAGAGACAGTGAATGCATACCTTAGAACAAGGGGTGATACAACAAGGTAAAGGGTTTACTGCAAAATTCACAAGCTTGACTCACACCTTTCCTGCTTGATATTATTCCTTCCACTCCACCTGCAGTGGCCTCCTCAATATCAAGGTCTTGCTCAAACCCACTGATTGTTTCATGAGGCCTTTCCATTGGATCCTGTCAGATGGAACCAATCACAACCTACTGTGTTCTCTCATTGCATTCCTGTGTGAGTATCTACTGTCTGTCCAGATCACAATTGCTTCCATTGGCATTTGAGCTACTTGTGGTATTTCCATTTTGTATTACTCTGTTTAGCACCCAGCCCAGTAGCATGTGTATGACAAACAGGCTCTCAATTGAAACTGATAGAAGTGAATTTCTTTGCTGAGGATTCAATGACAGGGCTGTGGTCCTCCTTACATAACCCCCACACAGCTCACCTCAATGTAGTCCTGAAGAGCAGTGTCTAGCATGGTCAGATCGGTCAGGAAGGTCCCCAGGTAGGGCACAGTTCCCTGCATCACACCCTGAAGAGCAATCAGAGCAAAGTGGTCTTTACTGTTGTTTAACAGTTTAAGGGATTCAGGAACCTCCACAGTGGAAAAAATGGACCAACCCACGGAAGGATAATTTTGGAGCCATTAGTACTAATTACCATAACTATAATTTTTAAAAACCCTAACAAATGGGATAAGAACTCAAATCTAATGTCTGGCTTTCAAGACTTGGAAAGCTGAACCCTAAAGCCCAGTAGATCATACACATATGTTCAGATTTGTTCACAGGGGGGTTATACTTTGCTTGGGCGTGGGTCAGTGGGTCAACCACTGTCTCTTATAGTGAGTAAATGCCTCTGGCGACCTGAACAGCAACAGCTTCACCATCAGTAAAAGCATGGGCCACTGCACAATGGAGGTGTATGGAACACAAGCACAGGGGGTACAATTATTAAAATGGCCCTTTGGGCGGGGCTTAGTGACTCATTTCTAAGGAATAAAAGACAGGAAAATTGAAGGATGGGGATGTTGCTCAATGGTAGAGCACTTGCCTAGTATGCACGAAGTTCTAGGTTCAATCTGCAGCACTTCCAATAAGAAAAAAAAAAAGTGGGGGGGGGAAGCCTGGTAAACTCTACTTTAGCCAAATGATGAAGGTCAACATTATCCGTGGTTCCATCAACAGACAACAAATACTGATACATTTCCTCCTCCATAGGACAGAAATGGTCCTTCCTCTTCATGGCATGGTTTCCAAAATCCTACAACCTCAGTCTCATCATGAGAATAACCAATGTCACCCCAGACTATGAAGTTCATAAAAGCCAAGGAAAGTGAGAAACTGCCATGAGCCAGAAGAGACGGGGAAGACACAGCCACTAAATGCAATGGGTATGCTTGGCTGGGTCCTGAAACAGACAGAAGATACTCCCTGGAGCTCCTCTAGGTCATACTATGATGCTAGCGTTGGTCTCTTAGTGCTGACAGATATGCCACAGTTAGGGAGATACTAATATAGTACCGACAGATGTATACAAACAGGCTCTGTCTCACCTTGAACTGAAATAATTTTCTTCCTTTTACTGGTAGCAATGATCTATAACTTGTCTTTGAACATCCAAAAAAGTCTGAAACACTGTGAGTTTTATAGGCTTTGTGTTTCAGAAGAGTCCTTGCATCAAAAATATTTCTGATTTATACCTGGCTTTCCAATGGAGAAAATCCTATCAAGGTAGGAATGAGAATATTTTAGTTTGCCAGTTTTTGATCTCCTCTTTTGGGTTTTTCCCCATGTGTGCTAAATTAGGAGATGAAAATACAACTAAAGAACTGAGCTCTGTGGTGCATGCCTGTAATCCTAGCACTCGGGAGGCTGAGGCAGGAGGATTATTGTGAGTCTGGGTTACATAGTGAGTTCAACAACAACCTGAACTACATAATGAGATCATGTCTCAAAACACAAATAAATAAATAGTAATAAATCAATAAAATACATCAAAAAAACAATAACTATCTTTCAGCCTTTAGGAAGGAGGCAAAGTAATCCTTTGAGTGTTCAAAATACTAGACAGATTTGGTTTTCCCAAAGACCAGTAAGGAGGGCTTGGGAACAAATGAAATGATTTCTGAGTTTAAGCACTTAATTCTTCTAGCAGCACTCTATTTTCTTGACCACCATATATCAGAAGCATAGAGAGACAGGAAGTCATGGGGGCTTCTAGGCCAAACGGCCAAAGCATCTAAGTGCTACAGTGGGTACAGGAGCCAGTGAGGGGAATAAGGTAGACCTTATTAGCTGCCTGTTGTCCATTATTATCAAAAAGAAATAAAACATTCTAGAAAACCTCTTAAATACATGATTTGCAACTCTCCATGTTCACTTCTTACTGAGTCAAATGCAGCAAGCAGCATTCCTCAAGACCTCCCGTTACTGCTAAGAACCAATGAAGTTACAAATGGGAGAGCCTTTTCCAAAGCATGGGCCCTCTTCACACTGCAGACACTGATGCTACCAGAGTGCAGCCACTGGAGCACAGCCACCCAGGTACAAGACACGGCCAGTCTCCTACAGCTCTCCGGGAGGCACACGGGCTGGACGTACCATATCCTTCTGGAGCTGCAGCCGCCTCTGGGTTCGCTTCTGGTTTTCCTTTACACTGCTGTCCAGGTTTGCAAACTTGGAAGTTCCTTCCTAAGGAACAGAGACAGAGAAAAGTGATGGTGGATGTACTCTGGGAAGAGGGGAGGGCCCTCTCCTTCCCCGCACACAACTGCAACCTCTGCACAAGTCTCTAAATGCAAATGAAGAGGCCCCCAGCAGGCTCTTGGGTACACTATGATAGCCCTTTGTAAGCATCCTCTGTACGAGGCCCAGTGGTCTTGGATTATCTCAGCTCTTTCCTTTCCTCTTCAAGGAAGATGACTGATATAGGTTGCAAAATCAACTGTCACTGCAAGGCAGGCAATTCACTGAAGAGAAGAGATTTTAACACATTCCAAATTTTACTCATATGTCCTGGAAATGAAGAGCTCTTCCTCTGTACAGTTTGTGACATCCCGATCCTAGCCTGAAATGGGTGTGTTAGCATTCTGTGAAAGAAAAGAGACTAATTCTGTGGTATTTCTTAGGTAAATGAAACTTTTGGACCAGTTTTCTGAGGAAGTCCAGTGTCATGGTACATGATCACTTCATGAAAACTGAACCATTACACATTTCCTCCCTTTTCTCTTATCAGTCCTCCTAAATTATCTCCTGGGTTGGAACCATTACACCTCTCTCCTTCCCCCTGGTACCTGAGGACAGAAGGCTACCCTTTCTTTACTCCTGGCTACTGTAAAAACAAATTCTTCTACATAATGACTAATCATGAGTTTGCTGACTGAACACAAAGTGCCTGGTTTTGTGGTTTCAGAGTCTTGTCAAGTTCTCATTTTCCAGGAACTGCATGAATGAAGGCACATTTCACAATTCAGTGGCATGTAACCTCTACATTCGTTTTTTCATAGTCAGGTTTTCCTGGGTTTATTATATTGTCTTAGCACATGACCGTTCACTATTGTATAATGCAAGAAATTCTTTCTCAATGTTATGGCCTCACTGATTGTGATAAGCTATAAACACGTGCTATCACCACCCACCTTCACCCAGGCCCCAGATACAGAAACCTTGTACTCCAGGACTCCTCGTCTGTTTCAGCTCTCCTTACAAAGGATAATAAAGGGCTGGTGAGATGGCTCAGTGGTCTAAAGCACCTACTTAGAACAAGCTAAGCTAAGCAAAGCACAGGCACCGCGGTTCAATCCCCCAGCACCACATGCCAGCCAGCCCCACCCCCTGGTGGGTTGAGCTGGCCACACACACACAAAATAAATAAATAAATAAATAAATAAATAAATAAATATTCAAAGGATAATAAAGACAGATACCAATCCACAATCTCCCACAACTTTTCCTAGAGATGTATGGTGACACCCTAAAATGTGCCAATTCCTAACTTAGGAGCTTGTAAGTCCTCCCAGCTCTTAAGAGTGAGAGATCAATGCTATCTAACATGAGTATGAGAAGGAAATCTTTCTACCATGTTGGTTCATCCAATCTCCTTCTAAGCTCTCAATCATGGGTAGAGGAATAACTTACTGAAATTATTTCATTTGTGTGGCATTCTTAGGATTTCTGAAAAGTTAGAGAGCTCCTAAGAACCACAGAACAATGTGGGTGGGAGAGCTCTTAACAAGCCACAGGATCATCCTGTGATTTGCAAGAGAAAGACCTGGGATGGGAGCTAAAAGATATGTTGATTCATGGCTGCATGGTGACAAAGAGATTCTATGCTTGCTGGTATTTTGTTTTGTTTTGTTTTGTTTTGTTTTTTCCCCTAGAACTGGGGATTGAACTCAGGCCCTTGCACTTGCCAGGCAAGGGCTTATTCTACTGAGCTATCTCCCTGGCTCCCATTGCATGCAACACTAAAGGGACTGACTAGTGCCAGGTCTTCCCCTGAAAATCCACTTCTGTGCCACACCCACTGGATTCACTTTTTTCCTTCCTCACCCCCAAATTCCCTACTCTGTACTGTTTTACAACACTAACCCCAGGACCTTTTTGAAATTTTTCACAGTCCTTTCCTCTTGTCTCTTGCTGCTCAAACTCAGATTCTTTTAGTGACTCTGCTTTCTGCCCAAGTCATCTTGCTTTTCAGTGTACTCCAGTCACCAGAAATAACAGTTTGACCACGTTTGTCTGAGTGAATTCCAACTCTCTCCCTCTCCCTCCACTGATCTGTTCCTTTCCTCTCATCTATTGACTCTCTGCTTCTTTCTCTATAGTGTAACTTTCTCATCTGAGACTCAGCTTTCTCTATCTCATTCTTTAGCAGAGTTCAACTCCCCTTGCTCATGTTTACTTCTGGGCTCCAGAAGAGTCTCTGCTATTAGGTATAGGAGGACCTTGTATAGAAGGATCCATTTGAATAAATACTGGTTAAGTTATAGCTCAGAAGCCTCTGGCGATTTTTATTTGATAGTTCTTCACACTTCAAATGGTCTCCTGCTCGACCTTTGATGATGCATATTAGAGAGCATCACTAAACACACATTTCCACTAGGAGGTATTCTAGTAGTTCATTATATGAATTCAACCAAGGAGAATTCTAAGAGCCATAAGAACCAAGAAAATTTGGCAACCGTCTTCTTTCCTATTGTTTTGAAATCTTGGGACTGTAAACTTCACCTGCTCAGAATGAGCTAATTTTCAGAAGTCAGATGATGTAACAGGTTTTAGGTAATCTTTGAGAAGAAATAAAATATTTTTCCAACAGTTAAAAGGAAATTTTTCCTAATTATTTGATGCCTGTGCCATCATCTTATAGAAGCAGCATGTTTACACAGAAGTAGAAGATAGATCATTTAAAGCTGAGATCACCTAATTATAAACCAGAAGATATCTCTGAGTAATGTATTAGAAACAGAGCTCAGTAATTTTTTTCAGTGGTTCTTTGAGAACTTAAATTCCTTGATTTCCATTTTTCACAACTCTGCTCTTAATTTATACCCAAAATTATATACTTCACATAAAGGATGATCAACTGAGATGACAGGAAAGTGACTTGCACAAGCGTATGGGCTGTCCAACACGTCCCACTGTCATTCATGATAATGCACAGACCACATGAATTCATAGCCAAGTTTTCCATTTCTTTGGGATTTGAGCCACATAGAAGAAGTTTCACTTACAGTACTGTAGCAAATTCCTACATTTATAAAAGGTTTCTAGGACATTTAATATCTAGATATAGCTTTGTTTCTAAGGGTTCAGCCAAAAGACTGCCACCAGGCACTGAGCAGCACAGTATTCGATTTATCTACCTTGGAAGGATGACTCATGACTACTGGGATTAGAGTGTGTGGCTCCGGTTAGTCTAGCTTTCTATTGCAAATAGGAAGAGCACTAAGACATCTCTTGTCAGCCAGATGGGTTTCCACTTAAGGTCTGCAAATTCGGAGGGATGTGAAGCAGGGAATAACATGATCTCAGCAATCTTTACATGTGCAGGTGCTCAGTTGCCCAAATCTGAAGTTAGCCATCAGCATAAACTGCCCCACTCATACCATTAACTCCAAGAAAGACAGACAGTAGATACACCGTTAAAATCATGTGAGTGAATGATAAGACCCACCAATTCATACAGTCTAACAATGTTTTCTGAATACATACTACATGCCAGGCACTAGACTAGGCATTACGGATACAAAAGTGGCAAAAGATACATTCAATCCCTGCCTGCAAGATGGTTACAGGCCTGCAGGGAGACAAGTCAAGGGCATAGGCAGTTCCAACAGAGCATATGATAAGTGCCAGGACTGAGAAATGGTGGGCTTCTCCTAGGACACATGGGAGGACATTTAGTCAGACCTGAGGGTAAGGAGAAAGTCTTCCAGAAAAGCTGGAGTCCACAAAAAGATATGAAGGATGGATGGGCAGAACATATGAGGATACCATGCTATGGTCATGAAAACTGGAACAGATGTCTTTACATGACTAACATGGGTTTTGGACACTAGAGTTTCAGAAGTTATCAAGTGGGTGCCTTTTCTTAATAACCCTACCTCCACTTCATTTTCATTCTTATTCCAAGTATCCTTAAGCTCAAACATGCAACTTATACAATTTATTCATCTTCATTTCTTATGCACACTTTGCTTTTATAAGCATATAGCTTACCAAACACTAAGAATCACTTACATTTGCATAGTTCTTTCACATATTTTACTGCAGTCAACCTTCAAACCAATTCTATGAGATCAATAGACCCATTACCATTATAGCCTCTGAACTGCAGAAATGGAGATGAAAGACAAGAAACAAAACTTCAAATTACCAGTTAGGGGTTTCCTCCTCTGCTAGGACATATCATACTTTTCTTTTTCTTTTTTTTTTAGGGAAGGGTCTACAGGGTGTTCAAGGTCTCACTACTAGAACAGACTCGTAGTGATCTGTCCATTTACAGCCTTCCAAGAGCTGGGATTACAGGCGCGCGCCACCACACCCAGTCTCAATTGCCATCTCAGTGTACCCTGGGTGTGCCTGCTTTCAGGTATCATACTATTTTATAATTGTCTGCTTTCCTACCTTCCCATAAGACTGTAATCCCCTTAATATCGGAGACTTGTAGATCAATATGGTTGTACCTTCAATACCTAGCACATAGTGAGTGCTCAACCAACATATGCTAAATTATTAATATATCCATTTTGCTTCCCTGTGAAGTAGGACCACTCTCTTTACTCCCAAAGTGTCAAAAGAAATGTTTTGCAACAAAACTATAGGTGTTTTAGAGTCCCACCAGGTTGGATTTACACTTTAGCTCTACCCTCTACCAGTTATATTCTATACAGCATGTAATATTTCATTTTGAGGCTGTGTTATTTACAAAATAAAGATGGTAAAATCTACCTTCTAGAAAGGCTATGATGATAGTATCTAGTCTATATTGGCTCCCTTCTGGTGATTGCTCACAGTCTTTCAATATTACTTGTTGTTTAGTGTCTCTATTTATCAACTACAGATGAACTCCTGAAAATGGGATCTCTGATAGGCATCTTCATATTTCTAAAGGCAAGTACAATGCTTTACAAATACTAGACATTCAAAATGTTTTTGGAGAAATGGGCCAATCTATCTTTGCCTAGCATACAGGTCAGAAATCACCACCCATTTAGTGTTCAATAAATGTTGCTGACTACAAGATTGTGCAACTTGGTCTAAATAAAGGATGTGGAACTGCAGGCCTGGCTTTTTTTTTTTTTTTTTTTTTTTTGTGGTATTGGGGATTGAACTCAGGACCCTGTGCTTGCCAGGCAAGCACTTATTCCACTGAGCTATCTCCCCAGCCTCAGGCCCCTGGCCTTTTACTCCAGATCTTTTTCTGAGAAGGATTATGTCAGGGCCTTTCACCCCCCCTAACTGCCAGCTCTTGGTATCTGCAAAGTAGCATGCTAAGGGAGCACACATGAGCTCAAATTCACAGCCAGGTTGTGTTACAGGGAAGCTACAGAGAACAGAAGGAGAGGACTCAAATGACCTTGGAATGTTCTCAGCCTCATGTCTCTTAGATTATGCAGATAATACACATAAGAAAAGTCTGCTTTCTTGCAGAATGGAAGGATCTCAAGGAGCCCTGATTCCTCCCGTGAATGGAATCCAAAGCCACCAGACGTGCTCCCACTATAGTATCCTCACCCTGGGCCTCACCTTCATCAGTAGTTCCCGGCTGGTCAGATGGTTATTATGGTCTGAGAAGATATCTGAAAGTTCTTCAAACATTAGCATTCGGTCCCTATGGAAAGGGTTAAGGAAATATTAACAACAAGGAGACAGTAAAATTCAGACATCTTCAAACTAGCTGTTTCTAGGTCCCACAGCAATGGAAGACATTTTGATACCAGGATTGGCTCTTTTTCAAACATTTTTTTATTCTTTTCTTTTTTTTTTTTTTTTTTTTTCAGTACTAGGGATTGAACTCAGGACCCTGTGCTTGCCAGGCAAGCACTTATTCTATTATGAGCAACTTCCTCAGCCCTCAAATATTTTTTTCAAAGTAAACATGACTACCTGCGTAAAGAGAAATATGTTTTAACAATGCATATTCTAATCCTAAAAAAGAATCATTTAGCTATGACATCAAGTTATTCAATAGGGACATGTTCTCTTAGGTGAAGTTTTCTTTTTAATCTTATCTTAGCAACAGACAGACAGAGCCAAATGGAACCTGAGAGGTCCCCTTGGCCTGGCCCTCAGTGCTACACAGGAAGCTGCCAGGGCCAAGGGTTTAACCAAGTTCTCATCAAAAGCTTCTGAGTGTCTCAGAGACAGAATCCACATTTGAGGATCACAGGCCAGTTTCTCACCCTGAGCCAGAAGAGAATGGTGGAATCAGAAAGGGCTCTGCAAGGGAGGGTGAGGCCGAAGGTGGGGGTGAAGGTCAATCTCGACTCTGACTGACTTCCTCAGTGACCTCAGACAAGATGCTTAACTTTCCTGAGCTCCCATTTTCTTATCTGCACAATGGAGACATGACCACCCCCTGTGAGGATTACTGTGCAAGTCAGTAGGAGGACAAATGGAAAGCCATAGTGCCCCTGGCCCTACCCAACGCCCTGTGTCACTGTGTATAAACCTCCTGCTGATTAGGGACAATGACATAACTACAACATTCTCATTATCATGAAAATGAACTTAACTGCATTACAATGAGTACACTGCTCTTATGATAAAAGAAATGAGAAGAGCTGCTTCTATTTTGGAGAAAATAGAGATTTAATTATGTGTAGCTCTAAATTGAGAAATAATTTAGGTGGCCTTTCTGTCAACTGAAAGCTGAAATGTTGAAGATGAAGGGGAAACTGAAAACCAAATAAGATCTCTTGACCCCGCGGCGAGGGTTTAGCAATGGAGAAAGCTGATAGGCATCTTCTCTAAGGAACTGGGAAATAGTAACATCCTTGCTAAACTATAAACCAAGCAACAAGGTAAGAATCAAACCAGACATGCTGAACAGAAGTTCTAAAAACTAATTTAAAAAGCCCATTAGAATGAAGAATGGATCTCATATGGCAACCACAGAGACTAAAATATAAGCTCACTGTTATCTTCACTCTTTAAAAAAATCTGTATTAGTATGGATTAGTTTGCAACACATAATGATTACAGTCATCATGAAGAGTTGGTAGATGTACATAACACACATTAAGGCTCTTTACTTTCCTTTCTTCTCCCCTCCTTCCTTCTCTTGTTTCTCTTTCCATGTGCAAAAATCGATCTCCTTGTTATTACCTTTACTTGCATTTTAGTCTCAAACTTGCTGTAAAAGAAATCTTAGGCAGTCTAGGTGACTGTCCAAAAAAGACATCAACTGACTAACAACTAACAGTCAACCATCAAAAGAACAGGTAACATTGCCTGTCACTGCAGCCAGAGAAGGTGGAAATTGTACCACTTGATGGTCCCCATGTTTCTGATCCCATTGCTGGGTGGGAAGTGGAAATGAATGGAAGGAGTAGTACCATGATGGCATAAAGGAGAGCACTGTGAGCTTCCGACTGTCCCACTGTATTTCACCAGGGACATTATCTCCTGATTTTATACAACCCATATCTTTGGTAAGATAGGCATGTACAGGAAAACCATCAACTAATCTCTTTCACATAGTCACTTTCATTGTTGAAAATAATGTAGAGGAGAAAAAACTCAAGAAAAAAAGTGGTAATTGAGAAAACTGCATTGGACTTTGAAAAGCCTAATCTGTCACATTTTTCCTGACAGGCAATGGTGTCATAAACAAAGTATGACCTTTAGAATCCAAGTGGTCCTGGCTTCTGTAACATGAAGCATTAAGGTCATCTATTTTTTTTTTCTTTTTACCAGACAATCAAAGAATTGCCTGGTAATAATGTGATTTCTCTCAAACAGACTGTCCCTTGAATGTATCTGTAAGTTAGAATACTCTGGCACTCATTTTCCAGCATACATTTATGAAACTCTTGTTTGCCAATGTGGATCTCTTGCGAGTATGAGGAATAGCCACATGTTGGGTCTTAATCAGTTTCGAATAAAGTCTAAAGACAAACACCATCTCTACCCTGAAGCCATAATTGGGGAGCACCATACCTACTCTCTTGACAGACAGACTTGACACACTATCCCCTGATACAGCCTGACAACTTGACTAGTTCCAGCCCAGGAAGAGTTGGAGATAGATGGCCTAATTCCTGTGCACAAAGGTCATTGGTTTACACAAAAAGTTCTAAAAGATAGCAATAGTGAAATCATAAGGACATCACATTGTCAATAGTTCTAATGTCTACACCAAGAAACATGAAGAAAAGTAGCCCAGAACTGGCCAGTAAATAAATTATCAGTTGCCTAGAGTGGAAAAAAACATTCAGAGGCTTTCAACATCACTAAGAAACTTTTAATATAAGATTATATAGCTTTTAATATGCTATATAAACTAGCTTTGAATACACTGAAGCACAAAGGGACTGGACCAGCAAGCACTAACAACTCAGCTACCCGGGTTACACCTCGCATTCTGGAATAGCCTCTAGCTTTGGTATGAGGCTGAAAACTAACTGGAAGTCACAGAAAACCTGCTGTCACTTCATCACAGCACAGCCTTCAAATCATTCCAAAAGACCAATAATCTGGGCGTGACACCTTGAGAATGGGTTTGTCTTCTGCAGCAGCCGTACTGGAAACTCACTGATGATTCTGTGTAAGAGGCACTTTGCCTGGAATACTGAGAGGACTTGGAATATGATCTTCTTGCCCTATGAAATGCACTTCCAAGGTAAGGACCTGCAGCACTGATGTGGCAAGGAGTCGCCCAGGACAAAGGAAAGCAGAGCAGACGCTTGCAAACTTACTTTGGGACGGCAGCCCAGGTCTTTTTCAAGCGATAGATGGAGTTAGACTGCAGCGCTGAAACGATGGCCCGCAAGGAGGAAAAGTTCTTTAGAATTCTACATTCCTGTATGGGGAGTGATTAGGACATAAAAGGCATTGGAATATCAATATTACAGTGAGTTGGTCGTTTCCTGTGTTAGAGGTATCACAGCTGCTATGAATTCCTACTACTAAACAGGCAGCTGAATAAATACTGGACATCAAAAAGTGGCCCCTTCCTCCCACCCCAGTCACCAAACATTTTATAGATTCTGGCACTGTGTATTTGTTTTTCTCCCTTTAAGATATTTTTGTGCTGTTGTTACAGTTTTATAGTTTCCAGCTTTCCCAGTAAAAACATGAATGGAGGTGAGTCTACAGAGCGAGGCTAGAGAAAGCAGCTTTCTTCTGTAGAAAGCACACACATGCCCTAAAAATACACATGAAAGATCACTGTATCCTTAGACTCACAACGGAACTGGGCAGCAGCCACTTGGAGTTCAGATGGTATCAAACATCTCATGACCAAGCCTTGTCCTGAGAGGTGTATATAACTTGGCAATAAAAATTCACAACAGGCTGAACTTTGGCTTTTATGCTCCTAGCCAAGGGGGAATATTTTTATACACATTCATTTGGTTTCAAATTGGCTTGTACCACACTCATAAACATTCAGAAACACCTTGGTACTTCAATGCTTCCAAAATAACTTGGGCTTTTAAAGTAGGATTCATTTTGGCAGTGTTTAAAAACAAAATGGAAAGAGAACAGGAAACATTTTGGGTAAGGACAGAGGCTCCCTGCTTACACTTAAGCTACCATAAGCCAAGGCTACAGCATCAGCAGTCAGTGACCTTGCAGTTAAAGTTCTGCCAAATGAACAGCAAGGACAGCGTCAGAGTCAAGAGAGAGAGGACCTATTCTTGGCTGGCATGGGGCAGCATAAGTGAGTAGATTATGCTTGTGGCAAAGGAGATGATTCCCACAGAGGCACGTGGCTGTGCAACACGCCCACAGTTTACTATTAAGCACATCGTGTGAGTATGCACTTAGTGCAGAACATCTGGGGCAAGACGTCCCAGAGTGGCTGGGCATAAATGCAAATTACTTCAAGGATCATCTAATGAAGTAATGCTCATCCTGACTATGAAGGAAAAACAGTATGCTCTAATTTAGCATGCCAAAATCTGGCTACTGAAAACGATGCCAAACAATCCCTCAAATGTTTTCTTTAGAGTAAATGCCAATGTATTTTATAAAAGCCATGCCCATCTTTTTTTAAATGCCCCAAGGTTCTCCCCATTTGGAAGGAAAGAAGAAAGGGAAAGAGAGAAAGAGATGAGAGATTGAGGAGAGAGGGATAG